TCTATTTTCCATGTCTCTACTTAACTTTTGAACATATGGAATTAAGTTACAATAACTTTTGGGGAGCCTGGGTGGCTCAGTCGGTTGGTTGTCTGCCTCCAGTTTAGGTCATGGTCCCAGCGTCCTGAGACTGAGTTCTGCATTGGGCTCCCTGCTTGGCAGGAAGGTCCACTTCTCCCTCTCTTCTGCCCCTGCTGTGTGCTCTCTCTCTCACACTCTCTCTCAAATAAATGGATAAAATCTTTAATAAAAAGTTACAATAATTTTTAATATTCTTTTCTGCTCATTTTGACATGTCAGTTCTAGATCAGTTTCAATTTTTTTCCTCTTCTTATGTCTTATATTTTCCTGATTCTTTGCATACCTGGTAACTTTTTTTTTTTTTAACATTTTATTTATTTATTTGACAGACAGAGATCACAAGTTGGCAGAGAGGCAGGCAGAGAGAGAGGAGGAAGCAGGCTCTCTGGTGAGAAGAGAGCCCAATGCAGGGCTCGATCCCAGGACCCTGAGACCATGACCTGAGCCAATGGCGGAGGCCTTAACCCACTGAGCCACCCAGGCACCCCACATACCTGGTAACTTTTTTTCTTTTTAATATTTTATTTATTTATTTGACAGAGAGAGAGATCACAAGTAGGCAGAGAGGCAGGCAGAGGGAGAGGGGGAAGCAGGCTCCCTGCCGAGCAGAGAGCCCGATGCGGGGCTCCATCCCAAGACCCTGAGACCATGACCTGAGCTGAAGGCAGAGGCTCAACCCACTGAGCCACCCAGGTGCCCCTACCTGGTAACTTTTAATAGGATGACAAACATTGTGATTTGATCTTCTAGGGTGCTGGAGATTTTTTATAATACCTATAAATATCCTTAAGTTCTGTTCTTGGACACACTTTCTTGGAAACTATTTGACCTTTTAGGTCTTGCTTTTAAGATTTGTTCATTGGGTTTAAGAGCCTTATTTAATTTGGGACTGTTAAGTCTCCATTGTCGGGGCAAAAAAATTTTGAGAACTCTAGAAAATGCCCTATAAATCTGTGAAATGCCCTGGGTTAGCTGATCAGAGCAGGCACTATTCCCAGCCTTTCGGGTACTGTTCCTTCTTGGCGAATCTTTTCTTGGCATCAGGCAGTTTCTTCCCATGTAGAAACTGATCAGTTCTTGCTGAAGATTTGAGGAGAACCATCTAGAGATCCCAAGGTTCCCTCATTGTACAGCTCTTTCCTCTCCATATTCAGTCCTACAAACCAGCATTGGATCCCATCTTCTACCCTCTGGGAATCTGCTAGGTCTGCTTTGGTTTCTCTTCCCATATTTTGATCTGGAAACTTTCTTAAGCTAGTAAGCTAGACCAATAAGAGGGCCTGATTTAATTAATCTATCTATCTATTTAATTCTTATGGAATGTGATAATTGTCCATTACCTGCTGTCCAGTGTCTTGAAAACTGTTGTTTCATATATTTGGTGTTTATTGTTGTTGTTTTAGGCAGGAGGGTAACTTGGTCCCTACTGCTCCATCTAGCAGAAGTCTCTAACGAATTTTTATAAATTTTTTTTAAGATTTTACTTATTTATTTGAGAGAGATAGCAAGAGAGAGCATGAGCAGGGAGGAAAGGGAGAAGCAGGCTGGGGCTGGATCCCAGGACCCTGAGATCATGACCTGAGCTGAAGGCAGCCACTTAACTGACTGAACCACCCAAGCACCCTAAAAACTTTTTATTACGGAAAATTTCAAACTTACACAAAAATAAACAGGATAGTCATGTAAATGTCCCTGTATCCATCTCCAGGTCTTAGAAAATGTTCAACTCATGGCCAGTCTTGTTTTGTCTGTGTCCCCACTCACTTCTCTCCTTCTTATATTATTTTAAAGAAAAATCCCAGACATCATATATAAATCATATAAATATTTCAGGATGAGTTTCTGCAGGGTCCTTGTCAGTGCCCTGCCCATATTCCTCCTGTTCTTTCACTTCAGTGTGGCTGAACTGACTCTAGCTCTCATTGCCTGCATCTCTTTGCTTAAAGGCTTTCCTCAAAAGCGGGGAGAACTACTGTGTCCTGCTCATAGTAGATTGGAATTGCCAGTGTCATTGGTGTACCCCCGACCCCACAGGGACAGATCATAACCAAGGACTAACAGGTATGAAGATATGGATATCTCAGCTCCTTCATCCCTTGTGAGATGATTACGAGGCATGCGTTTCACACTTTTTCCTAAGTTTCTCAATGAGATTACATTCCCTTTGCCCACAGTAGTAGCTGATGTGATAATGCCCCCTTTATTATCTGTATCATCTCTGTGTCCCATTTGCTCATTCCCTGTATCAGTTTTTCCGGGCTGCCATAACAAAGTACCACAGACTGGGCGACTTAAAATAATTTATTTTCTCATCATTGTAGAAACTAGATGTCTGATATCAAGGTGTCAGAGTTCAAGGTGTCAGCAGGGTTGGTCTCTTCTGAACCTCTCTCCTTGGCTTATAGATAGATGACTGTCTTCTCCCTGTGTCTTCACGCGGTCTTTGTGTGTGGGTGCGCACCCCTGCGTGCGCAGAGGTGCGCGCACACGCATATCTTAATTTCCTCTTCTTATAAGAATGCCAGTCATGCTGGAGTAGGGCCCACATATACAACCTCGTTTTCACCTTTTTTTTTTTTTTAAAGATTTTTATTTATTTATTTGACAGATCACAAGTAGGCAGAGAGGCAGGCAGAGAGAGAGAGAGAGAGGAGAAGGCAGGCTCCCCGCCGAGCAGAGAGCCCGATTCGGGGCTCAATCCCAGGACCCTGGGATCATGACCCGAGCCGAAGGCAGAGGCTCCAACCACTGAGCCACCCAGGTGCCCCCGTTTTCACCTTAATTACCTGTTTTAAGGCCCTATTTCCAAATACAGTCACATTCTGAGGAACTGGGGGTTAAGACTTTAGCATATGAATTTTGGGGGGAAATTCAGTCCATAACACTCCCCTACTGGTGTTTCTTGCATGTCTCAAATGAACTACTTCTCAAATCTTTACCTCAGGGTCTGGTTCTGGGCAAACTCAAAGGAAGGAAATCTCTAAAAGATAAAGGACTCTTGAAAAAAATAACCAAATTACCCTCATACACTCTTAATATCCATGCTTCAAGGCTTTACCTGTTCCCTGCCTTGTATAATTGGTTTTTTACATGTGCACATCTTTTTACATTTTTACATCCTCACCAGTGATGGCAGAGACTATGCTGCATTGATCTTATCCCTACCAAGGCAGTGCCTTGGATGCAGGAGATACCAATGTTGCTTGATTTGCTCAAGTCAATGACAGTAGTTTTTTTTTTTTTATTAAGATTTTATTTAATTTATTTATTTGACAGACAGAGATCACAAGTAGGCAGAGAGGTAGGTGGGTGGGGGGTGGGGGGCGGGGAGCAGGCTCCCTGCCAAGCAGAGAGCCTGAGGTGGGGCTCGATCCCAGGAACCTGAGATCATGACCTGAGCCGAAGCCAGAGGCTTAACCCACTTAGCCACCCAGGCGCTCCAGTTACAGTAGTTCCAGTCTGCCTTGGAAGCTAGGTTTTAATAAAATAGCCACAAAATCTAAATGACAAAAGTACTTATACTTTAATAATGTAAAATCCTCGCTGAGTCTATTACCAGCAATCTGTACAGATGTGCAATACTTAGCACTAAGGCACACAATATTTGTTGACTGAATTAAGGTTTTAATTATTTTAATCATATATATATATATATATATCATCATCAACTGAAGTTGGAAGTTAAAGACTTCTGGATTACAAAGACATTTATAGTACACGAATTTATAGCAAATATCTTTCAAACTGCTAGTGCCACCTACTGGGGAGGATTGGCCAGTGTTCCAGAAACCTATCTCCCTGTGCTCTTGAATTTTGATGGTTGTATAACAAGGGGCCTATACGAAGCATTAGTAAACAATAAAAATCTGACACAATAAAAAAATTATATATAATTACAAGTTTCTTGTGAAAAGGAGCTTTCACAAATTCAATCTTCACATTTATATATGTACATGAACCTCAACTCAGAACTCTGGACTAGACCCTCAGTAATTACTGGCTGAGTAAGTGTCTAGAGTGACTCATAAGGCAGAGAGAGCCTCTTGACTATAAATAAGTTCTATTTTAAGTTATAACAATATTAATCCGGGATTGTATTTTTCCTCTGGACATTACTTACATTTGACAGTAAAGGAGTTCTCTTTGACAGCAAGCTTTCAAAGAAGAAAACGCTGGGCGAAGTACACAATAAGACAGATGTAAGCCCTGCCACTTTCAGCTTTAAGTAACCAGGAGGCTTTATTTGTCTGAAAATTACTAACTGTGCTACCGACGTTACGCTTACAACACAGAGCCTTGGGTTCAGGGACCCTGACCTCAAAGTACTTTCCGGACCACTTTCCATGAATTTAGAGAACAGTTTGTTTCCCTTGAGCTGAGAGGACTGGGTAGGAGCACGTGCAGAGGATGCAAGAAACTGAGACACAAAGAGCAGAACTTTGACATGAGCTCGGACTACAACCACAGTTAAATCTAGGACCTGAATTTTCGGCTTCAGGCTGGCCCTGCTTCCCAGCCCGTCCCCGCCCCCGTATGGTCCCGCCCCCCCCCCCCCCATTCCCGCGGCCCGCCTCCACACTCGGGCCCAGCCCTGATTCCCGCCTCCCATCCCGGCCCCGCCCCAAATCTACCCCCGCCTCCCCACTCCGGCCCGGCCCCGAGGCCCGCCTCCACTCTCTGACCCGCCCACCCCTCCTAGCCTTGCTCTAGCTTCTTTAGCTCCCCGCCGCGCCCGGGCCTCAGCCCAGCTTCGCGGGCCCGAACCGGGCCTCATCGGCCAAACCCAAACCCCCTCGTCCACCTCCCAGTTAGAGACACACCAACCGACCCGAACCCGCCTCCCGGGGGCGGAGCTCACCAGGTGCGGACCCGGGGCGTGGCGGGCGTGTAGGAGCGCCAGGTGCGGCTTCCGTGTCAAGATGGCCGCCGCCTGCCGCATCGGAGCCCGGCTCCAGCCCGGACGCCGCCTTCTTGTCGGGGCCCCGCTGCTTCGTGTCGCCCTCTACCTCCTGTGCTGGGCGCTGGCGGCTGTGGGCGCCGTCCCGGAGCCTGGGCTATGGGCAGCGACGGTCAACGACGTAAGTGGAGCGTGGAGACCGAGGCGTGGCGCGTCTCGGGCCCTACGGGTCCTCGCGGAGCTCGCTGCGACCCCCGGGCCCGGCCGGGGACTTGTTCATCTGGTCTGTACCCGGCCTGCTCCGGCTCGGTGATACGGTCACTGAGTTTTTCGTCCGTTATGGACCGGGAGAGCCCCCTTCTCCGGCCCGACCTAGGCTGTGGGGAATCCTGTGCATGAGGACGGCTCTCCCTTCTGAGCGCTGGAACTGTTCCTAAGGATCGCCTTCCCGAAGTCCTGGCGCCTGTTGGGCTCTGACGCGTTCTGGCTCGCCCAGGTTCTTGTTTATTCAGACCCGAGCCCCCAGATCCCTTGGCACTCGCTCGGGCCCGCATCTTTGCCATTTGACCCCACTTCGGGCCCGGGTGCAGCCGCAGGGCCACACCCGTGAGGCCACTTTAGACAGGACTTTCCCAGGCTTCACTCAGCATAAACTTAAAAGCCTGTGTGCCGCTTTTGTTTTTCGTTTTTTGTTTTTTTTTTTCTCTTTAAATAGGGAGGAAACATGGAGCAGCCACCCCACCCCTTTTTCGCTCTTCTAGGGTTCCTGAATTTCTCTAGGGCTCCTATCATAGTTCTGGGAATGTGTGTGTGGAGATGAGGAGGGATGGATGATTAAGGAGTGCTTGAAAGGCTAGTCTGGAGGAATGAGTGTATGGAAACTTCCTTTCCAGGACAGGCCATTTGAGAACTTGGTATCCAGGAGTCACATGAGATGATGTAGGAACGACGCAGGAGTAGAATTTTGGAAAGCCTTGCTGAAGAGGGACAGGAAATCGGGAAGAGGCCTTATCCCTTGCTTTTCTAGTCAGATGATTCAACCAGCTCTGTTTTAAGATGACTATTTTCCACATGCATTGAAATGCTGTTTGAGCCTTAAAGGCAAAACTTACATTTTGATTTAGTCAAACAGAAAAAATTAGTACCAGGTGCTACCATTTCTTCCAGGATTCTTCTGGGTTGGCGTCCCATTATATGTGTCAGTGACAGAGCGTGCACATCTCTATTATTGAATTTCTCTGAACAGTAAAAAGCAAAACTCAGAGAACCACACTTGTGATTTCATGCCATTTCTTTAGTGAATGACAATATCATAAACTTAGAGTAAACCATACTGGAAGTGAACGAGCCGTGCACAGATTGTTAAACTACTTGATCATTATCTGCAAAACTCTTGGCCAGCTATACTTTGGGTGGTGAAACTCCAAAGGCCCAGAAGAAAAAATGACTTTACTTTCTGCTTTAGGAAGGTAAATTTTTTCTTGGGTCCTACATCAGATCAGTAGCAGTCCATCAATCTCTTCTTTGTGGAGAATACACTGATTTCCCCCCCACCCCATTTCAAGCTGTTAGAATTTGCCCTTAAGAATAAGAAAGGAGGGGTGCCTGGGTGGCTCAGTGGGTTATAGCCTCTGCCTTCGGCTCAGGTCATGATCCCAGGGTCCTGTGATCGAGCCCCACATGGGGCTCTCTGCCCAGCAGGGAGCCTGCTTCCATTCCTCTCTCTCTGCCTGCCTCTCTGCCTACTTGTGATCTCTGTCTGTCAAATAAATAAATAAAATCTTAAAAAAAAAAAGAAAGAATAAGAAAGGAGAGGGAGGCTCTCATATGTATTGCAAATGTATTAAGAAGTGCTTCTTTCGATTGTAAAGCAAACAAATAGTTTGATCATCTGCTGTGCACAGTGTACTAGACCGGCCATTGTTGTTGCAAAGATGAATTTAAGCAACAATCTCTTCTCTCAAGAAGCTCCTATAGTAGTAGAGACAACAGATTCATTAGTAGTTATATACATGGCAGCATCCTTGGAATATTAGTGGAGCACTGGGGGCGGGGTGGGGGGCAGTGTCGCCTAACTCCACTTTCTAGACTTGATGTCTGGTTGTGTCTTTAAAGGTGAGTGGGTGTTACCTGGATGAGGGAGAAGGAGGGAGTAGAAAAGTAGCAATGCAGGAAATTCTTAGTGTTTCTGCTGAATGAGGTTCTGGTTGGAGTGTTAAAGGGGACTTAGGCTACTCTAAGCCTCCCACAGCTTAGCCCTAAACCTATTGCCGCGGGTCTAAACTCCAGGACTCCTAGGGTCTGAGGCCAGTGATGTCCACTGAGTAAAGTGAACTAGAGTCAGGGGATGCTGGGAGAGCTGTGGCCTGTAGATTATGTGCTCCTTCTGAAGAGGTCAGTTGCCATTCAGCTAGTGGATCTTATATGGCAATGTAGACACAGAATTGCCAAGTCTCCTCTTTTTTTTTTTTTTTTAAAGGGAAAACCAGAATCCATATTTTTATCATGTCAGCTAATCCAAAACATTTTTAGAAGTTCTGATGTGGGCCAAACACACCCCATTTAGAGGTTTGCTTAGGCCACCAATAACAGATTTTGGGTGTGAACGAAGGAGAGCCATTGAAGGATTGTAGGCATAAGTACCAATCACTATGGCTGCTATCTAAGCATGAATTATAGACTCAGATCTGGTGGCAGAATTACCAATTAGGTTATTGCAGAGCAGGAGGCAGACAATGTTGAGAGCCTGAATTGGAGCAGTGGTGGCAGGGATAGAGAAGAAGAACTTAATTTGGGAAGTTTTTGCAAGATAAAGTAGACATGCCTTGGGGATTGGGTGATGGAGCTAAGCAGCTAGAAGGAGTCAAGGCTGGGGTGACTGAAGATGGCATCACCTGCAACCAACATGGGTAGTGTAGAAAGAGAGGAACAGAGAGGAATGTGTCTGCTTTAGGACAGGTTAGTGTGGAATGTCTCCACTAGGGTGAACATGACCTTGAGGCAGTTGGGTATGTGGATCTGGGGCTCAGAGGAGGGGGTCTGGGCTAGGGGATTTGTTATTGTTGAAAATGTTGGGGTGGAAGGTTATCAAGAAAGAGCTGCCTATCATCTGGGGTTTTCATTTCTAACCACTTGTTCATTGAACACAATCCTTTCTCACAGTGTTTTCATTTTTGCTTAGGGCAGATATTAAATAACTAAGTAATGGATTATTTCATTTTAATTGTGGCAAGGGTCATGAAGGATGGGTCCTAGAGACTGTGTAAGGGAGTGCCTGGCCTGATGTGGTGCCTGGTGGAGGACTTCCTTAGGAAGGGGGTCTTGAACTGGCCTGAGAAACTTCAGAAGTCTTTAACAAGGTGGACAAAGAGTGACAGGGAAGGGCTCTTAAGTAAGTTTTCAGCTTGACTACTAAGGTCCTGAGAGCCCGAAGGAGTATCCTGCTCTCAAAGCACTGAGAGAAAGGTGCTAAGAGGTGGGCAGGCCTTGATCATGCAGGGGTCTATGAGCGGCAGTAAGAATTGGTTTGTTATAAGCACACATTGGGAAACCATAACAATTTAGGAACAGGGATGGTTGTTTTACCGAAAGTACATTCGAATAGATACCGAGAAAGCAACTGAAGATGCACAAATAGGTCTCCTTCCTGAGCAACAGTAATGGTACAGGGCAGCAGCCCTTACCTCCTGTGTGTTGGCTTTCTCCAGCTGAGGCGCTTGAAGCAAGGGCATTCCGGAGCCTCTTAGAGAGTAGACCCATGGGACAAGACTTTAAGCAAGTGGATGATGGGACCAGATTTACATTTTTAAGAAATAATCACTCTGGTCACGGGAGTGCTAGAGTTAGAAGTGTATATTTTCAAAGGTAAAACTGTACTACTAAATAGAGAAAACATTTTTTTAACTAAATCTTTCTGTATTTTCTTGTGTTTCATTTTAGAAATCAGGACCTTTGATATTTAGAAAAACTATGTTTAACTCTACTGAAATCAGGTTTTCTGGTAAGTACAATAAACTAATATAATACTAACAATAGTATATAAATGAATAACATAATGTAATATATAAGCTGATATATTAATAAAACTAGTATAACATATATTTTAAGCTATGCAGATGTTTTGTTTTTAAGTGGTTCTAACATGTTCAGGGTTTCTTTTGTTTCGGTCAAGTCTTGGTTATTTTTAAGAATGGATTTTTCTGATCCTGTCTCAAAAAATGTAATATGAATCATTAATTAAAATTTATAATTAAAGTATAATAAGGTAGGCTTCAGCAAAGAAAAGTATTTCACTTCTGTGAAATTTTACTCTGAATCCCAACTTTTAAAACTAGATAAATTCCTTTTATGAATATATGAAATGTCATGATTGTGGTAAAGCCTTTGTCCCTGAAACTTTTGTAAATATATGCATGGTCATAGAATACAATAAAAATTACTAGACACTAACATTTTAATTAAGATTTTAAGTACTGATGTGTAAGAACTATCAAGTCATAGATTTTGAGGTTTTTAATATTTTTAAGGGGTTTACAGCAAATCTTATTCACTATAGTCTAACTCTTCTTAGTGTTTCCAGTAACTTGACTAGGTAATTCTGTTGCTAGGGTCAAAGTTTTGGAATAAGGAGTAGTTTTTTGTTGGGTAGAGTTAATTGGCTTCCTGGGGATCCAAAGCCATGCCCCTTTTTTCTATCACACCGTATTTATGCATTCACAGATCATTTGTTGGGTGATTCTGTCATATGTGGGTCTTTGCTGAGGGAAGTTGGCCAGCCATGAACTAGAAAGCAGAAATAGTTCAGAGCAGCTCATTGGTATCATAGATCATCAGTGGTGATATTAACTTGGTAAGAGGAAACTTGGTAAGAGGAAACTGAAGCCAGAGATAGGTGATGAAAAAGATGGGGCATCCATTTGCTTTAATGAATTCAAATCTCAGTGCCTAGACAAGTAAGGTTTTGAAGGTACAGACAAGCTTTGCTCAGTATCGTAGTCAATAAGGTTTATCTGAGGCACAGTTATTGCTAGAAGGTGAGACAAAAAAGTTAAATGGTGGGGGGAAGGATATGTACCAATGAAAAGTAATTTGATTTAAAAAAACAATACATAGAGGCTGCTGGGAAGATGGCAGAGTAGGAGGACGCTGGGTTCACCTCTTGTTGCATGGCCACCTAGAAAACCCCCACATCGGCATAAATAATCCAGAAAGCAATTGGAAAACTGGCAGAACAGACTCCAACATAGATAAGAGGCCACAGCGAAGCAAATCTACCCACTCCGATCGCCTTTGGCAAGATCCCATCAAAGCAGTGCCACAAGCCTGGCAGTATGTGCACAGCCCAGACAAGGGCCAGCATCACTCCAAAGTGAGTACTGCTCCAGGGAGAGGGGAAGATAACCACACACCAGTCTGACTGTAACCCCAGCAGTGGGCTGGGGGCAGGCAGCTGGTCTGACTGCAGGCCCCACCCACCAACAAAAGCTTCTCAGGTGACAACACAGGGAAAGTGCCCGAAGTTTAGTCCTACTTATCTCCTATAAACATCTGATCTGACTCAACTCAAGCCCAAGGCAACCCACTAACAACATAGGCACCAGACTCTGCCCACAATAGGCAGAGAGCCATTGTAGGCTGGACTGAAGGCAAAAACAGCTCCACTGCAACAGTAGGACATCCCTGTAGCAACACACATAGGAGACACCACCCCTGAAGCACCGTTTTCTGGTAAAAAGAAGACATTGCACTGCAGGACCTCTTCTTTATAAAGCCACTACTTTCAAATGTGGGAGATTGTAGCTGACTTTCCAACACAGAGAAACAGACACAACAGTAGACAAAATGAGACAGAGGACTGTGTCCCAAATGAAAGAGCAGAACAAAATCAGAGCAAGAGACCTGAACAAAATGGAGATAAGTAATATGTCTGACAGTGAATTTAAAGTAATGGTCATAAAGATGCTTGCTAGAATTGAGAAAGAAGTGCAGAACCTCCATGAAACCCTCTACAAAGAGATAGGAGATGTAAAAAGAACCAATTAGAGTTATTGGACTCACTAAATGGAAATAAAAATAGACCATGTGGAATAAATAGCAAACAAGAGGAATTAGAAGAATGGATCAGCCACCTGGAGGTCAGAGTAATGGAAAGTAATCAAGCTGAGCCGATGAGAAGGGAGAAAAATATGAAAAATGAGAATAGACCCAGGGAACTCAGTGACACTGTGAAGCATAACAGTCGTATGATTGGGATCCCAGAAGGAGAAGAGTGAGGAAAGGGGGCAAAAGATTTGTCTGAAGAAATAATAGCTGAAAACTTACAGAATCTGGGGAAGGAAAGAGAAATCCAGATCCAGGAGGTACAGAGAGCCCCCAACAAAACCAGCCTGAAGAGGTCTCCACCAAGATACAAAGTAAATAAGAAGGCCAAAAAGAGTGATAAAGAGAGAATTTTAAAAGCAGCAAGAGAAAGGAAAGCGGTGACATACAAGGGAAACACCATATAGCTATCAGTGAGTTTTTCAGCAGAAACTTTGCAGGCCAGAAGGGAGCGGCCTGATAAATTCCAAGTGCTAAAAGGAAAAAATCTAGAGCCAAGAATACTCTATCCAGCAAGACATTCATTTAGGATAGAAGGAGAGATAGAGTTTCCCGGAAAAACAAAAGTTAAAAGCGAAACCAGCATGTCCCTGTCACACATTATCCCTTCGGCTTGGGGACCCCAAATTCACAGTCCAGCCATTCCCCTGCCCAAGTGAGCATGCATGGCCTGCCACCAGCTCAATGCCAAGTCAATATGGCTTCACCTCAGATTGCCAAGGGCTCAAACTGGCACTTTTCCCCTCAAATTTCCCCTCAAATTCCACAAAAGTGGGCATAATTATAACAGCGTAAGGAAGCAACCCAAACAGTGACACTATTTATGTGGAATATGTAATGGATAAAAGGAGTGTGCTAGGGCACCTGGGTGGGTAGCTCAGTTGGTTAAGCAACACTTTTGGCTTAGGTCATATTCCTGGAGTCCCAGGATCAAGGCCTGCATCGGTCTCCCAACTCCATGGGGTGTCTGCTTCTCCCTCTGACCTTCTCCACTCCTGCTCTCTCTCTCTCAAATAAATAAATAAAATCTTAAAAAAAAAAGAAGGAGTGTGCTAGGCTGAGAACATCTCCATTAAGCACATCAAAGAACAATACATACAGCATGATTCTGGTTAGTAAAAGAAAGAAACCTGGGAAAAAATAAAACAAGATGAAATCAGAGGGAGACAAACCGTAAGAGACTTTTTTTTTTTTAAGATTTGTATTTATTTATTTGACAGACAGCAAAAGAGGGAACACAAGCGGGGGAGTGGTAGAGGGAGAAGCATGCTTCCTGCTGAGCAGGTAGCCAATGCAGGGCTTGATCCCAGGACCCTGGGATCATGACCTGAGCAGAAGACAGACGCTTAACCAACTGAGCCACCCAGGCACCCCGCATAAGAGACTCTTAAGCATAGGAAACAAAGTGAGGGTTGCTGGAGGGGTGTGGGTGGGAGGATGGGGTAGCTACTGATGGGCATTAAAGAGGGCATGTAATGAGCACTGGGTGTTCTATGCAACTATGAATCACTGAACTCTACCTTTGAAACTAATATTATACTATATGTTAATTAATTGAATTTAAGTTTAAAAAAGGAATTTTCCCCCAAAAAATCAATAGGTAATATTTGTGATCAGCTAAGAGTAGACCACACTCAAGATGGTGGTATTAACATATCTAAAGAAAGAATGAGGCAACAGAAGGGAGTTAGAAGCAAAAGCATAAGAAAATACGAGTGTTAAGTCAGGTTAAAGCAGAGGTCTAGCAGCATGGATGGGAGAGAAGTCTTCTTGAGCTGTGACTGTAGGTATGAGAGGTCACTGGCAGGGTAGGTGCAGCATCCTTCTGAGCCACCTCGTTCTGGTGCTTTGGTCATCAGACAACTTTCAGCAACTTCCGATATGCAGGAAAGTATGCTGAAGCGAGAGAGTTAATCAATCATTATACAACCACTTTACAGTTACTATTCATTTTAAGTGAGTATTTGGGCTTTCTAGATTATACGTCTACATTGATGGTGTGGTGAAGGAGTGAGACCATGTCTCTGTGTTCTCACAGAACCAGATTTTAGTGCTTGCAAAGCTAAGAATTAGTCCCTTGGATATGTATCTGGCTTTCTCTTAGGTGACCCCTCTTTTGCTACCCCATTCAGGATGCAGTCTTGTGGAGTCACGGCCAAAAATTTCTCAGTGTAATTCACCATATAAACAGAATAAAAGAAATACACTATATAATCATCTCAATATGTACAGAAAAGCATTTGAAAAAAGGTAACACCCATTCATGATAAAAACCCTTAGAATTCTAAAACTAGAAATTAAAGACTTCCTCAAGCCGATAAAGGCATCTGTGAAAAATCTATAACATAATGTCAGTTTTCCCCAGATTTTCTATAAATTCAATCAATCTCAATCAGAATCTAAGCTGACTTTAATGTAGAAATTAACTGTTTCTAAAATTTATATGCAAATACAAAAAACCTAGAATAGTCAAAGCAATTTTAAAAAAGAACAAAGTTGAAAGACTTCTGTCTGATTTCAGAATGTATATAAAGGCATTGTAATCCTAACAGTGTGGTATTAGTATAAAGGTAGAACATATAGAACAGTGAGACAGATCAGAGAGCTCAGAAATATACCCACATATGTAAACTCAATTGACTTTCAGTAAAGGTGCCAAGGTCAATTCTTTAGAAAGAAGTTAGTCTTTTCTGTAAATGATGCTGGAACAACTGTGTATCTATACTGAAAAAAATCTCGTTTCTTACATTGATCATGGATTTAGACACTGTCTCCACCTCTCTGTCCTTCCCTTCTGGGACTCCATTTGCCCTTATGTTAGACTGCTTGATATTGTTTTATAGGTCACTGAGGCTTTGTTAATTTTTTTTAGTCTTTTTCTATGCTTCATTTTGGATCTTTCTATTGCTTTGTCTTCAAGTTCAGTGATCTTTTCTTGTCTAGTATTTAATCTCATTTAATCTTATTAATCTTATACAGTGAATTTTTTACTTGAATATTGTATTTTTTTAATTTCTAGAAGTTTGGTTCCTTTTTTTCAAATATCTTCTTTCCCTCCTCAGTATTTTTCATATTTTCCTTTACATTGTTGAGCATATGGAAAATATTTATAACAGCTGTTTTAATATTCTTCTCTGCTAACCATCTTTGTCATTTCCATCTTTGTCATAATGACTAATCTATCATGATTATGAATCAGTTTTTTCTGCTTTTTATATCTGATTTTTGTTTGGATGGTGGATGTCATGAATGTTACTTTTTTTTTTTTTTTTTTTGAGAGAGAGTTAGAGAGTACAATCAGGGGAGGGGCAGCGGGAGAGGGAGAAGCAGACCCCCCCACTGAGCAGAGAGCCTGAGGAGGGGCTTGATCCCAGGAATCTGGATTGTGACCAAGGCAGGTGCTTAACTGTCTGAGCCATTCAGGCGACCCATGAATGTTACATTCTTTTTTTTTTTTTTTTAAGATTTTATTTATTTATATGACAGACAGAGATCACAAGTAGGCAGAGTGGCGGGCAGAGAGAGAGGAAGAGAAACAGGCTCCCTGCTGAGCAGAGAACCCGATGCGGGGCTCCATCCCAGGACCCTGGGATTATGACTCTAGCCGAAGGCAGAGGCTTAACCCACTGAGCCACCCAGGCACCCCTGAATGTTACATTCTTAAGTGCTGAGGTGTTGTACTCCTTTAACAACTTTTTTTCTGGCAGACAGCTAAGTTTCTTTTGGGTCAGTTTGATCCTTTCCAGTTTTATGTTTAATTTCTTTTAGGGTGGACCTGGAGTAGCTTTACTGTAGGGCTAACTTAGCACCACTTCTAAGGTATGACCCTGCTACATTTCTCTGAATGCTTGGTATATTTAATGAAATTAATAGATATTAATTTCCACTCTGGTTAGTGGAAGCTCAATTAGTTCCCAGCCCTGTGTGATCTCTGAGAATCACTGGACTTCTTCCTATGCAGGGGCTGGCTACTATACAGACAGGCTCAATGGTATCCCTGTCCAGATTTCATTTACTTTTTCTCTAGGCAGCTCCCAACTCTTAGGTGTTCTGCCTCAGTAGTTTTACCAGTCTCAGTCTCAGGTTGGATTCCCTCTGGTTACCAGTCTTCAAGATGGCTCACAGTGATCCCTGCCTCCTGGTTTTCGTGACTTTATATAGTCCTCTACCATATTATATTAAGGTTGGTCTGACCAAGAGAATATGGCAGAAGTAATGGCATATTGCTTCTGAAACTAGGCCATAAAAGATACTGTGGCTTCTTCTTTTTCTCTCTCTCTCTCTCTGATGACCTATTCTAGGGAAAGGCAGCTGCCATGTTGTGATAACACTCCCAAAAGAGCTTTTTCTAATTCTAGACTTAATCCTTTTCAGTCTTTCTAATCATGTTACCCTTCTACTTGCATACAGTAGTGCTTTGTAATATTCAAAATAAAGGAAAACTCCTTAGCAGAGCACGGTACCCCTTACAACTTTCCTCCAGCACTCTTTTTTTTTTTTTTTAAGATTTTATTTATTTGACAGAGAGGGAACACAAGCAAGGGGAGTGGGAGAGAGAGAAGCAGGCCTCCCGCTGAGCATGGAGCCCAACGTGGGGCTTGATCCCAGGACCCTGAGGTCATGACCTGAGCCAAAGCAAATGCTTCACTACTGAGTCACCCAGGCTCCCCTTCTCCAGCACTCTTACCCAGCTTCAGCTCTTCGCCCTTTCCCCAGTCTGTGTTCTGACCATTGCCAACTATTTTGTGGTGTTCATGGACATTTGCATACTGTTCCCCTCTCCTCATCACCTAGCTAATTCCTGCTCTTCACTTTAAAGGCCTCCTCCTCCAGTAAGCCTGTTGGTACCCCTTCTTCATGCTCTTCTAGACTATGTTAGGTGCCCTGCCCAGGGCCTTGACCCCCTGTTCTCAGACCCTTATTCTATCAAAGGTGCCTATTTAATTGTTAGCCCTTCTCTCCCCAGTACCTCTTATATCAAGGACTGGAGTTGTTCTAGTTTACCGTTACTCTTTCTGACACACAAGGGATGCTCACTCAGTATTTTTTAAATAAGTCAGTGACGAGAACAGTTTAGAGTGACTTTAGAGTAAGCAGTGACCTTACTCTAAATATTATATAATACTTACGTATTCTGTTACTCAGTTGATTTTTAACTCTATAGATTTAATACAGCGATTAAATGAATAATATTATAGCAACTTTTGGTTAACTAAAATAATTTAATTTAATGAATTTATCTCACTTTGCAGTGACTGGGAGAAATTAGGTAATATTTTACTCACTATTTCATTAAAGTAGCCTATTTTAAATTGCATTCTCGAAACCTTAAGCTTATATTGGAGCATATATATGATTACTGTAAAACGAAACTTTCTTTTTCTAACCAGTTAAGTCATTCAGTTGTTCTGGGCCTGTGAAGTTTGCCATAGAGTGGCATTTGAAGCATTATACCTGTCAAAATGAATATTCTAAGCTGGAGGTAAGTAAAATGCAAATTTTCAGTGCATATAAAACTATGAAGGGGGGCTCCTGCATTGGGCTCCCTGCTCAGCAGGAAACCTGCTTCTCCCTCTCCTGCTCCCCCTGCTTGTGTTCCCTCTCATGCTGTGTCTCTTTCTGTCAAATAAATAAATAAAATCTTCTTTAAAAAAAAAGCTATGAAGGAAAAATTATGAGTATAAAGATTTATTAGCTCATCAGGTGAGGAGGCCAGAAATATAGATTGTAGTTTTGAAGTGCCACAGATTTATTTTCGGACTTCGGCAAGAAATGCTCTAATTGTATCAAAGTGTATGCTTTCTGAGGAGGAAACATCTTTTCGTTTCCTTTTGTCTTATGAAAAATGTTAATAAATATTTAAACCAGACATGTAAGAACCATTAATAAAGGGGTTGTGGGTCCCATACAAATAAAAATCAATGTAGTTTAAGGAAGTAATGTAAAATTTTTACTTCATCCAAAAAATTAGTTATAGGGCACCTAGAACTTTAGGGAGGCTGAGTAAATTTAGTGAGTAGAAGCAGATCACAGGGAGGTGAGAAGAGAAAAGGAGACCCCCAGGGAAGGGAGGGGGAGCATGTGAGAGGAGGGTGTCCACTGGGCTCCTGTGTCCTTCAGCAAGGTGTTTCTTTTGACAGTGCTGATGGTTGCTTACAGCTACTTCCTTGTGAGCTCCTACCTTAAATGATGCATAGGTTTCCGTACTTTTATCTGTGTTATCTTTTCATTTGGGATGAAAGCTACCATTTTCCTCAAATAGTGCCTTTGTGACTATCCCCAAATATTTTACCCCTTCATACTAAATACTTCAGTGTGTGTTTCCTTAGAACAAAGATATTCACTTAGATTACACAATACAGTGATAAAAATAAAGGAAATTTAACATTGATACAAAACTATTATCTAATAGATCTTTTTTTTTTTTAAGATTTTATTTATTTATTTGTCAGAGAGAGAGAGAGCATGAGAACAAGCAGGGGGAGTGCCAGGCAGAGGGAGAAGCAGGCTCCCTGCCGAGCATGGAGCCAAATACAGGACTTGATCCCAGGACTCTGGGATCATGACCTGAGCTGAAGGTAGACACTTAACCAACTGAGCCACTCAGAATTCCCTAATAAACAGATCTTGTTACAGTTTTGGGAGTGTCCCCTAAACATCCTTTTTAGCAGTTTTTTGTTGTTTTCCTGGTATAAGTTCCAGTCCAAGATCACACTGCCATTTCTGCAGCTTTTTTTTTTTTCGTCTTTCCTGACATTGATATATTTGGGGTGTACAAACCATTTATTTTTATAAAATGTCCTTCGCTTCCAATATTTCTGATATTTTCTCATGATTAGTTTAGGTTAGATTAGTACTGGCTTGTCCCATTTTTGGTAATGCTAACTTTGATTAGTTGGTTAAGGAAGTTTCTACCAGGTTTCTCCACTATAAAGTTACTACTTTTCTCTTTGTTGTTAACAATAATTTGTGAAGAAATACTTTTGTATTTGTATGTGAATATCCTGAATTTTTTTTTTTTTAAGATTTTATTTATTTATTTTCAGAGAGAGAGAGAGTACAGGCAGGCAGAGAGGCAGGCAGAGGCAGAGGGAGAAGCAGGCTCCCTGCAGAGCAAGGAGCCCGATGTGGGACTCGATCCCAGGATGCTGGGATCATGACCTGAGCTGAAGGCAGCCATTTAACCGACCTAGCCACCCAGGCATCCCGAATATCCTGATTTTTCATCAAACCTTGTTTTAATATCCTTTGATTCTGGCCTGATCAATCAGTTATTGCTCTGATGATTGCTGAATGGTGATTTTTCTAATTCCATATTTTCTTTTGCTTTGTTAACATTCTGCCATCAGGATGAGCTCTCTCTTTTCCTTTTATTTTACCTATCAGTCATTTAACTGAGCAACCATCAGCATGGACTCATTGATTTTTGCTTTGTTACATGGGTTACAATATGATTTTAAATTTATTTTGCTCAAATTGTCTCCTATTTGGCCAGTAGAAGCCAACTTAACCTTTTCTTGATGACTGGAAGCTGCCATTAGCAGCCTGGTTTTATTCATCCGTCTTTGATTTAACCTTCCTTGTAGTAGTTAAATGCTGGTTTTCTTTCTCTCTAAAATCTTTTATACATGGGATCAAATGAAAGTAGCCTCAGGTCAAAGTATTTTTTACTTCTCCGTATACCATTTCCTATGGTAATACCTTAGTCACTTTTCTTCCTCTAAGATTATGCTTCTATTATGTGTTACTGGATCTGAGTGCCTTGGAATGGCTAACATGTTATGATTACCTTGTCATACTTAAAATTATATCCAAAACATTTTTCTTTTCAGTATTCTGTATGTTTTCAAGTGCTCCAAACTGAATAAATCTTTGCAATCATTTAGATACTAAGTTTTACTTATCTTCTTGAATAAGAAGTGTAGAAATAAATTATAATGTAGAATTTTACCTTGGGTAGGAGGAGCTATCACAAAAACAGGATCCTAGTGTTGATGAAGACTTTTGTGGCCATTATTTCAAGAACATTGAATGTTGGACAACAAAATATGAAAACTTAGACTGCAACAGTGACTTGCAGGTGTTTCCCTCACTGACTGTGAGTATCTGTCTTGCCATGTCAAAGTCGAATGTACTTTACTCCCAGTGAATACAAGTATTAACTTAAATTCTATTTTATCAATATTTTGATAAAGAAAGGTGCTTATTTTGTTAATTTTAGGTGTTAACAAGTAAGATCCTGGCACCATTACTCCATTTCACTGTACCCTTTACAGAAAAAGAACCTTTTTCTTTTACACCCTTGAAAAAGAACCCTTTAGTCATTTTTTCCTGGTCTGCTGTCAGTTCCTCCATCGTTCTCTCTATCTACTCTAGTGAGACCTTTGCCCCCATCATTCCATCAGAACACCTAGTCACGCTTTCCAGTGCTAAAGCTTTGTCAACTTCCTTAGCTTATCAGCAACCAACCTACTTGAACACTCTCTCCTCCCTTACTTACTTCCTCACAGCCTGGAAGATTTGATTCTGAAATGTTAACAGCAGTCATCCATGGGTTGTGACGCTATGGGTCATTGTAACTTATATTTTTACTCTGTAAATTCTGAAATGAAAAATTGAAAGTAAGTCTTCAGTGAAAATAATAAAGGTGTTTTTAAGATTTGTGATAATAAAAACAAAGTTTTTATTTTATTAAATAAATTTATTTAATTAAATTTATTTTATTAAAAATAAATTTATTATTTTATTTTATAAAAATAAATTAATTAAATTTATTTTATTACAAATAAAAACATAAAGTGTGCATAGCAGAGGTGTATGCTTGATGAATTTTCAGAACCTGAGCACATCAGTATAGACCCAGATCAAGTATAGAATATTTTAGCCCCTAAACCTCCCCCGCAGTATCTTCCCCACCAAAGGTAACCACTACCCTGATTTAAACAGTAATTTTTCAAAAGCAGGATTTTTTTTTTACTCACGTTTGGGCTATAAACTTTTTTACTTTTAATTTTTTCTGGTTCTTTACTTTTTTCAAAGCAATTTTTCTTAATTGTTAAAGCAGTTTTCCCCATAGAAATGCAGCAATATAAAATGGAATATGGAATATAAAATGGAATTGTTTTATTCTTTATTCTTTATTCCAGAATAAGGAACTAATTACAAATACCAGAAATCTTTCAAACCAGGAAAGATCAACAGTGAGTCATTTTATTTGTCTTTAAATCAAATGTTTACAAGTTCTGGTAAGCCTGAAAAGAATCTGTGATGGATAGATACTTGGATAGAGCAATATACAGTAGGGTGATTAGAAGTAGGGGGAGAAAAAGAAGCATTATTTCAAATAGTGTATTTTTTTATGTGTATCTGTATGAATTTTGTATTTACTTATTTCTGACTTTGTTTAAAAATTCCTTTGAAGTTGTAATTTAAGGTTAACTTCTTTGCTACCTTTCTTTCAAATGCCTAACATAACAGTGGGCTGGTCCTGATCATCATTAAGGATGTAAAGAAATAGAAACCATGAATGTAGCTCCAGGGGAAAGAGAATTTGGTATTTGGAGGAATTCCTAAAAGTCAAAAGACCAAGAGGTGAAGAGGCTTGGAAGCAGTTGAGCGTAGGGACTGAAGGTGGCTTTGGGAGGGCTAACCATTTGCTTTGATGCTGTGCCTCTAAGTTTCTCAGTGATCTTAAAGAGTGATCTCAGAGTGGAAATATGTTCCACTCTGCAGTGGCTGGGACAAAACTCTGCTCTGCACAGACTCTGTTGCAGGTGGAGGAGTAGGAAACGAAAGGAAAGGATAGGGAATATTCTGGAAGGGTGAATGTGAAGTTTGATCCAGTTATGTAGGACATTGCAGCATTCCTAGGCATTACAGGGGGCAATTTCATTTCCTGGCAGGACGGCTAGTAACATAGATGTTAGGGAATTTAAGTAATTGAACCTATGTACTGAATCTGTGCAGCCTTTTTAACAATGTTACCTGACTTCTTACTCCCCCAGTTCAGTTTAAAAACAGCCACATTTAACAACTGAATGCTTGATATTAGAATGAAATATGGGAAGTGTAATATTAGAAAAAATATTTGAATGGTATTAATAAGTAAAACATAGAATGATAGTTTCCGGGGGAGATCCTTTAAAAATATTAAAAGGGGAAAAACTCAACAGTAGAAAAAGCTTTTTTCTTCCTCCATTGCTTTGGGTCTGAGAGGGGCAGGTATAGGGGCAGCCCTTCCACAGTCTGCTATCCTTCCACTGTCTACCATTTCTTTCCATTGTTTTAAAACAGTAAAAACTAACCCCATTGAATTACTAAAAGTTGTTTTAAAATGTGGTGGACAGTTGCTTAACTGTAGCTTATATAGCAATTTTTAAAAAAATAACATAAAGGGTTTTTTTCCCCCCTGTTTCAGGATGTTGTAGCGAGAACACAGAGAGATGGGTTTCATATCTTTATTGTTTCTATCAAAACGGAAAAAACAGATGCAAGATGGAATTTGAATGGTATAGTTGAACTGCATGCATTTTTGCTGTCTGCTTTTACTGTATTCTATATTTTTGTCGTTGACCCAAATCTACTTTTTTTTTGTTAAAAATGTCACTCAAGGGATGCCTGGGTGTCTCAGTGGATTAAGCCTCTTCTTTCAGCTCAGGTCATGGTCTCAGGGTCCTGGGATTGAGCCCTGCATTGGGCTCTCTGCTCAGCAGGGAGCCTGCTTCTCCCTCTGCCTTTCCCCCTGCTTGTGCTTTTTCTGTCTTTGTCTCTGTCTCTATCTCAAATGAATAAATAAAATTAAAAAAAAATTATTTCTGTTAATAACAAAAATAATCTGTTTATTTTAAAACTTTAAAACTTTATGCTTATCTTAACTGTAATATTTTTTAATGGATTGGAAATTTAAAATTAGGGTAAATTTTTAAAATTTCAAACCATACTGGGATATAAAATTCTTCATCCTTATAGATTTAAAAAAGAATTTTCTAATATAGAAATGGGTAGGCAACATTTTAGTTGTATTTGAGGTAGATTATATTGTCTGATGAAAATGGCCATCATCGGAGGTTTAAAATTTTTATTTTAAAGCATCTGTCTATAGCTTAGGAGTAGAAGGAGCTTATCTGGCAATTGTGGCTTCTGTGGGTCTGTGAGGTCCCTGCCCACCCCTGTCCCCCAAGGTAGGCCCTCTGTGTCTAATTAAGCTCTATGGTTCCTCTCCTAGTACCCAATGCAAGACTGGGCTTACAAAAGGCAAATTTTTTCTTAGAAGATTTTATTAATCCATTTGACAGAAAGAGATCACAAGTTGGCAGAGAGGCAGGCAGAGAGGGGGAAGCAGGCTCCCTGCTGAGCAGAGCCCAGGACCCTGAGATCATGACCTGAGCCGAAGGCAGAGGCTTAACCTACTGAGCCACCCAGGCGCCCCACAAAAGACAATTTTTAAGAGAATGAATGCTTTCAGAGATCTTAGAATTGCTTCGGCTGTCATTTTCTATGAAATAATTTTTAAGATTTTATTTATTTACTTGTCAGAGAGAGCACAAGCACAAGCAAGAGGAGAGGCAGGCAGAGGAAGAAGCAGGCTCCCTGCTGAGCAGGGAGCCCTATGGGGGACTTATCCTAGGACCCTGGGATCATGACCTGAGCTGAAGGCAGATGCTTAACCAACTGAACCACTCAGGCATCCTGAGTGAGTGTCTGCTGGACCAGTAGTAGTCAACAGTATGTGAACGTCCTGGGCATTTGCAAACTGCTCAAGTTCATCCACTAGGAGCACAGAGGTGAAGATAGTCTTTGTCTTTAAGAGTTGCACAGTCCTGTGAGGAGGCAGAAAGTACTGAGCGGACACAGGCATTGCTTCAGAGGAGGCAGAGAACTGGTGTACGACAGGGGAAGCCGATGGAGGTGGCTGCTCTGGAAGAATGGGAAGTTGGGCCTTTCCTAGAGATGACATAAGGGGCCAGAGAAGAGAGCCAGGGACATTGGGGCCACTCTGCCACCTAGACTGTGTGTTCTCTCACCTTCCCAGGTATTGTGTCTCTTCCCCTGATACCAGCAGGCAGTTTGAAGACCCCACCAGTTAGTAACTGGAGCAGTTACTGAGACAGTTTGGTTCTGTGTTTGGCACCCCGCTTATTATTATCTTGTACAACAACCCCAACCAGATGCTTGAGTCCGGTACTTTATCCCAAGTTACATTAAGGAAGACGGAGTCCTCAGTGAGGTCAGTGACTCGGCATGGGGCCAGTCAAAGGCCAGTACTGCTCTGCTGTCTGCCTAAGATCAGACTTGGCCTAGTTTGATACCAGCATGTATACAAGTAAAGGTATCTTGATGAGCTGACATGCCAGTGACTAGTAATTATCCCACATTTTGTGTGTGCTAAGTAAAAATTCAGCATTTGTTAGCTCAGTTTGTACTCTTAGAGCCTTCTGGGAAATGGGCTTACATTTAAAATGTAATGGGTCATTTAATTCTTTATTTTCTTTATCCCCATCTTCACCAGTTTCTCTTTCTATGATTGGGCCTCATGGATATATTTCTGCATCAGATTGGCCTCTGATGATTGTGAGTATTTCTTATCATTTTTTCCTTTTTAAAAAATGATTTTTTTTATCCTAATTGGTAATGTTAACAATTTAAAGAGCTCGCGATGGTATCCTTTAGTAGCTAATGCTTTGGCATACACTCTATTTCTGATTCCAGAGTGACAGGAAAATAAAAGACTAGATAACTTGAATGAAGAAGTGTCCATTTTCAAATGATCACAAGCCTTAATTGACTAAATTGCTTTTCTTCCTACAGTTTTACATGGTGATGTGTATCGTTTATATTTTATATGGCGTACTCTGGCTGATGTGGTCTGCCTGTTATTGGAAAGATATATTAAGAATTCAGTTCTGGATCGCAGCTGTTATTTTCCTGGGAATGCTTGAAAAAGCAGTTTTTTATTCTGAATATCAAAACATCAGCAGCACTGGGCTATCAAGTAAGCTGTGACTCTCTTTGTAAATGCAGTACAATCCAGGGAACCCCTAGCATTTGTGAACAGAGCTGTGGGAGGCCTCCTTTGTACAGTGGTTTGGAAACAGTTGCATTAGAGATGAAGAGGACAAGAGCCACAAAGGGAACGTCAGAGTGGGGCTCTGATCTAGGCTAGTGGATGAGCTGTCCTCATTTTCTGTTCCACTGCTTTCCTTCACTTTCCTCCTGGGGAGGAGAAAACTCCCATTCCAGTGATTGACTTAAAACAGCAAAAGTTCCAGACAGGGGCACTTTAGGTGCTACTAATCCTTTTAACATATTTCTCTGTGTTTTTCCCATATTCTTTCTTCTGTCTCCTCCATAAAAGAAAAGAAGGAAAATTGGACCCCAGGGAGTAAAATCAGTAGTGCGGGGATGGATGGTGCCTACAGCCATCTAGTGTTCTCTGTATCCTCACTGTCACAGAGAACCTCACGTGGCCATTGGAGGCCCCGCACAGTTTACTTAAGGAGGGCAGGGAGTTGGACATCACAGATGTGTGCGTCAGATTTCTAGAAGGTAGCGTGCGAAAAGCCCAGAGAAGTAAAGGTACAGTTGCATCACCAAAACTTTGGAAAGGGAGGTAGCGCGAAAGGGTTGAAAGCTCTCAGGAATGTGCTTCTGAGTGATCCATTAAAATAAGCTTTGTATTGACTTTCATAGGGTGTGGTTATGTCTGCTATTTATTTTTGTAATACTCCAGAAAAAAAAGAAGAGTGAGTTGGAGTATAGATGAAATGGATTTGGCATAATGTTGATAAGTTATTGAAGCTGAGTATTGGGTACAGAGGAGTTGATTATACTGCTTTCTTTATATTGGGGAATATTTATAATGTCCCAAAATGAAAGGATGTGTATAAGAGAAGAAAGAAGGGACAAATATCCAGGGAGGCATATTAGAGATCTTATTATACCATGAAAAGTTAGTGCTGTTTGCGTGTGTGTGTTTGCTCTGAACTGAACTAGGAGGGGTGAGGCTGCCGTTCATGGTTGGCGGGGAGAGTATTCTTGAACGTTAAGTAAGGCAGTTGAGCTCCTTTGCTTTTAGTGGTTGGCATCTCTTGTCTAGGGAAGGTATGGTGTGGCCTTGTCTAGGGAAGGTACAGTGAAGAGTGGCAGCCTAAGATACATGAAGGGATGAGAGGCCACTTGCCATCCTTGACTTGAAGCTCTCTTTCTGAGATGATACAAGGCCTTGAAAGAGAAATCACAGGCTGCTGTTGGTGTCTTTGAGGAGTCCTATGAAAAGGAGAGGTGCCAGAAGACCGCAGGGCTCCTGCTGTTTCTCATTTTCCCAAGTGGGAAGGAAGCCTGTAACCCAGGCTGTCTTGCTTAACACTGATACTGGAAGGATAGACTTTGGAAAAAACGCTGCAGGGACAGGAAACAGTGATTGTTGGACCCAACACGGGGACCTTAAGGATAGGTCACGTCGCATTGACTTGCTTTGTGCTGCTACACTTAGTATAGCTGGACTTCTTTTTTTTTTTAATTTTTTTTTTTTAATTTTATTTATTTGACAGATCACAAGTAGGCAGAGAGGCAGAGAGAGGATGAAGCAGGCTCCCCACTGAGCAGAGAGCCCGATGCGGGGCTCGATCTCAGGACCCTGGGATCATGACCTGAGCCGAAGGCAGAGGCTTTAACCCACTGAGCCACCCAGGCGCCCCGAGTATAGCTGGACTTCTTCAAAGTATTTGACAACTGTGATTTCTTGTGGACAAGGTGGAGAAATGTGAGCTGAAAACTGGCTGTGCGACCATGTGTAAAGGGTTCATGCACGTAACTACCCGTCAGCATTTTGTCAGTGTAGAGCCGTGTTGTCCAGTGTGGTAGCTATAGACCACATCTGGGTGTTTGAAATTAAAATAGCAGCTCACTTCCTCAGTTGTCCTAGCTGCATTTCAGATGCTCAGAGCCACACGTGGCCGGTTATTACTTTATTGGACAGCGTGGATGTAGAACATTGCCATCATCCCAGAAACTCCTGTTGGACAGCCCTGGTCTGGAGCAATGGTTCTCATCCCCGGGTGCATGTAAGCATCACTGAAGAGCTTTAAGACAATACTAGGGCCGGAGGCTATGGTTGGCCTGGGCCTATGAACTGGTTCTGTTGAGAGGCTTCCCGTGTGATTGTAGTATGCACATCCAGGGTGGAGAACCACTGGGTTAGAAGGAGGTTTTGAATAATGTCTGCCTCACAGGTTTCAGACCTTGTTGCTGGTTTCTCCTTATGATCCACTTAATGTTCCTTGCAGACCTATGCATATGCAGAGAATACGCGCTAAAATTCCATGGACAGTGTGATGTTGGCAGAGTTGTTAATACTGGGGGTATAGACAATAATTTTAGATGGACCCTTCTCACCTGGAAGTATTTGAAGGATCAAAGAGTTTTGGTATCCTGAATGGAAAGGTGAAACTTAATAGGCAAGACCTTGATCTTGGGGTTGAAGTACAAATCACAGAAGAACCAATGGGCAACTTTTAAAGGACTTGGAAAGGGTGAAGCTGATGAAGAGTAAACTCAGCATGGGCAATTATAGGATGGTTGCATCCCACTAGCTCCTACAACCTTGGTAACAGCAGGAGGACTAGCAGTGAAGACGTGGAGGTTCCTGTTTGGCAGGTCTAGCTGTACCAGGAAGGTTGTATAATCGCTTTCCTCCAAGGGGGAAATAGTCCAGACTAAAACGCTTGTGAAGGAATTTGAAAACACACCACCCGTAACCATTTGTCATCCTAGATCTCTTCACATTCCACATGCTGTCTTGGAGGGCTCAGCTGTTGTTTTCCTCCTGAAGTTTAATCTCCTGGCCCGATGTCTCTCCTGAGCTGCAGACTTAGTAGCTGGTCACCTGCTAACTCTTCTGAATGCCTTACAGACTTCTCAGTCTCTGTATGGCAGAAAAGGAACGCACCTTTTCTGCCCTTGTCCTTGACTCACTGTAGTTCAAACCTAGACTGGCTGAGCCAGTCAATCTTGGCGCCATCCTCTTGCCACCCTCTTCCTTTCCCTCTAGTTCCACATCTGTCTGCAAAGCATTTGATATGATTCCTTGTGGATAAGTTGGAGAATTGTGAGCTGAAAACAAAAATAAGTAGGTAGATTTACTACTGGTTTCTGAATGTCTGCCTTGTTTTTTCTGTCTTCCCTGCCAGTGCTGTGCTCTCTTCATCTCTTACCTAGATTTCTGGAGTAGCCTCCTTAGCATTTTCCTTGTCTGTCACCCAGTTCCTTTCCAAGCCGTGAAGTAGAGCAGTCTTGATAAAGTGGTCAGTTTTACTCCAAGAGTCAACAGACTTCCTTTGCAAAGGCCATATAGTAAATATTTTTGACTTTATGGGCCATCAGTCTCTGTTTCAACTAGTCAGCTGCCATTGTAGCACAAAAACAGCCACAGTCAACATGTAAACAAGTGGGCATGGCTATGTCCCAATAAAACTTTATTTACAAAGTCAGATGTAGGGCCAGATTTGGCCTATGGGCTATAGTTTACCAATTCCTTTTTTACTCCCTTGTTAACTGTCACTGACTTCTCACTGCCCTTAGCATAAAATCCAGACTCCTAACACGGCCTGAAAACCCTGTGTGATTATCCCTGCCTCTCTGACCACCTTTTTTCTTGACGTCCCTCATTGCACCGTGCTGCAGACATCCTGAACTTTGAATTCTTGCAGTATGTTTTACTTTTCCTCTTTCTCCTCCGTGCCTTTTCTTGTACCTTTAATTTTGCTTTCCCCCTAATTTCCCCCAAATAGTTAATTTTTACTAGGCCTTGAAATCCTGACTTAGATATTACTTCTTCTGAAAACCCACTCGTACCTCCCTCAGGTGTGGATTAGGTTGGCTTCTTCACAGTCCTGGGAGATACTGTGTTGCCTATAGCACTCATCACGCAGAGTTGTGTTGTTATGTCTGTTTACTTGTCCTAACCAGAATATAATCTCATGAGGGCAGTGATCATGGTGTCTCTTTTCCCATTATAGTCACACAGTAGGAGCATAAGTGAATAAATGATGAAGGCAACTTGGAGAAAAGAAAGCTCTAAGAGGACCTTATGGTTTTCAAATATACATAGGACAGAAAGAGTGATATAGTTCTTCGTAGCCTCAAGGGGAACAGCAAGAACAGAGGGAAATTGAGGGAGCCAGCTTTTAGATTGATGTATGCAAGCGGTGCCCAATAGTGCTGGCAAATACAGGGTCAGTGAATTCTCCAGGAGTAACAAATTCCCCTCCAATGAGGCTTTCAAACATCAGATGGATTAGTTGACCTTTAAAGTAAATATGGCCAGTTCACCTGGGGTCCGAATATAGTTATACACAGTACATATTTAGAATTTTGGTGGCAGGCCTCTAGATGTATACAGAATGAATTCTTTTCTTTCCTCCCCACAGCCCAAGGTTTATTGATATTTGCAGAGTTGATATCTGCAGTTAAAAGGACATTGGCTCGCCTCCTCGTGATCATTGTGAGTCTGGGCTACGGCATTGTGAAGTAAGTACTGGCGTGTTGGAAAGATACCGAGCTTCCAGTCTTGTGACTCCTCCCATCTACATTATGAGTCTGTGAAACTGGACACATCACAGTATCATTCTACAAACCCTGTAGGGAAACACCTGCAAGAAGGTGTTTTTAAGGGATTTCAATGTACTGACCACTTTACACTGTCCTCAGGTAAAGATCTTGAATTTGAATTTCAGTGGCTTTTTTTTTTCTTTTAAAGATTTTATTTATTTTTTTGACAGAAAGAGAAAGATCACAAGTAAGCAGAGAGGCAGAGAGAGAGGGGGAAGCAGGCTCCCTGCTGAGCAGAGAGCCCGATGCGGGGCTCAATCCCAGGACCCTGAGATCATGACCTGAGCCGAAGGCAGAGGCTTAACCCACTGAGCCACCCAGGCGCCCCTCCAGTGGCTTTTTATAGTTAGATGAATAAGTCATCAACTTTAAGGATAGGAAAATTTTTAATGATTCTTAAAGTTCGAACCATTTTCTCTTTCCTAGACACATAGTTATGCTTTTTTTGGAGCATGGAGCTCCCTGCATGGAGCCCCACGCAGGGCTTGAACTCATGACCTCGAGATCAAGACCTGAGCTGAGATCAAGAGTCGGACGCTCAACTGACTAAGCCACCCAGTCACCCCAAATTATGCTTTTACGATTGTATTTGAGTATTGAGTATTGTAAGGGAGAGAGGACTAAACAGGTCAGCAGATTTCAGACTAAAATCTGGCCATCCAGGCAGGACCCTGCTTCTTCCAGACCCTCTTGGGCCCCATCTTTTCTCTCCCATGCCCATGAGTCACTGGGAATGACCATGGAAGAGCTTGTCCTCTTTATCCTCTTTGCCCTTTTGTTTGGACTGTTCTTCTGTAAAACTCTCAAGCTTTCAAACTGGAACACCTGCTTTATCTTCCTACTGCAGTTGCCTTTCAAGTTCCAATTTCTGCCCTCATCCCTTAATTCTCCGAGTACTTGCTTCTCTCTGTTTCTCAGCGCTTCCCCGTGTGCCAGAATTCTCTGTGATTTCGTATCCGTGTGGGTGCTCCTGTGAGTAACCCGATCTCACCTCCCCACCTCAGCTGCTCTCACCTGTCCCCTCACCTCAATTATGATTCCCACTCCACTTTCTAGACTTTATTATTATATTTAACTGTACCCTCTTTATCATTGCAAATGTTAATCCTCTTTTCAGCTGTCATCTTCTCTGTTTCCCATTTACTTTTCCTAACAGATCAGCTCACTTCATTCTTTGATCCTAGTGTGGCTTCTGGCCTGTTGATCCTGCCATCCTCCATTGATCCTATAGGGTGCTGAATGCCCACGTACACCCAAAGCTCTCTGCCTTTCTCCTTATTGGCCTCCCTCGAGCCTCAGGCTCATACCCGAGCAGCAGAATCTGCCTGACCACAGTGTGGGCTCATTTCCCTTCTTCATAACCCAGAACTCTTAAGTGTGCCCTTAGTGCCCCTGGCAGTTTCTAGATCCTCTTGCCAGTTGGCAGTCCCTTTCCCACTCTACAGAAGACTGTTTTACCCCCTTCTCTCCCCTCTAGCCTCGGACTCCCTATCCATGTCCACCTTAGCTGATCTTGGTTCTTTACTCCCCAGGGAAATGGAAGCCATCAGAAGGGAGTTCAGTGCATTCCTGCCACCAAATCTGTGCCGTCCCCCCACATCTGGACCATGTATAGCGTTTTCTTCCTCTTGAAAGGCAGTGGTTAAGTCCTGCCCCTGCCCTTGTGCTCTGGATCCTGTCACCTCTCATGTGTCCAGTGGCTGCTCCAGCAGCCGGCCGTGTTTCCTCCAGGGTCATCCGTTTCCCTGAGGGGCATGACTGCTATCGGCATGCTGGTACTTTGGTCATCTTCCGAAGCAAACCTCCATCCCCGCTGGCCCTCTCCTCTGCTTCCCCTTCGTTTCTTTTTCCTTTTCCTTTTTTTTTTTTTTTAAAGATTTTATTTATTTATTTGACAGAGAGAGATCACAAGTAGGCAGAGAAGCAGGCAGAGAGAGAGAGGGGGAAGTAGGCTCCCTGCTGAGCAGAGAGCCCGATGTGGGGCTTGATCCCAGGACCCTGGGATCATGACCTGAGCCGAAAGCAGAGGCTTTAACCCACTGAGCCACCCAGGCCCCCCCCGCCTCCGCCGCCTTCATTTCTATTCATCCCTGTGCAGCATCGTTTCTCAGATGCATTATCTGTACTTGCCACTTCAACTTCCCTCATTTTCTTCTGAATATACCCTAATGAGGTTTTTGCCTCCACTCCTCCAACGAGACTGCTCTTGTCAGTCACCTGGACCTCTGTTGCCAAACCACATGGCCTTGCTCAGCCTTTGTGCAAGGGCCCTGTGGCAGTTTGAGTCTTAGAGCCCTGGCTCCTCCTCCCCAGCTTCCCTGCTGGACTCTGTCTTCCTGAACTCCCAACACTGAAGTGCTCCAGACTCAGGCCCCAGACCTCTGTTCCAGCAGCTCACGTCCCTGGGGCACGCTCATCCAGTTTCTTGGCTCTAATGTCAGGGCACACCCAGAGTGAACCCACCCCTCCTTTCTACAGCCACTACCCTGGTTCCAAACACCATCGTCTCTCCCTACATGACTCGAGTACCCTCCTAACTGGTTTCCCTGCATCTGCCCTGGTCTCCGGTCAGTCTTTTTAGACATAGCATCCGCCGAGATGATCCTTTTTAAACATAACGAAGATCTCATTACTTTTGCACCCATCTTGCTAAATAAACCCAATTCCCTTCTTTGGTTTCTTAGATGGCTGACTTCACCTCCTGCCATTCTCCCTTTTTGAACACTGCCCTGTCCTGCTGGCTTTATTGCTGTTGCTGTTCCTTAAACACAACAGACACTTCCCCACGGTGTGATAAAGGCCTCTGCCTGTAAGTGTTTAACCCCTGGATCCTGGGATCCTGGGCATGATTTGCTTTCTCACTCTTGCCTCTGCTCACCGTCCTCTCCCAGGGAGGCTAGCGCTGTCGGGATTCGCAATGGGGTACACACCCTCCTCGGTCACTCGGACCCTCACCCCTCTTAAAGCACTGCTTGATGCATATATTAGGATTTGTTGTCTCTTTCCCCCACTTCAATGTGACTTCTGTGGAGTCGGAGCTTTGCCTGTCTTGTATCCTGCTGCTTAAGGCCCCAGTGTAGTTCCTGGCACATAGTAGGCCCTCCGTAAATATGCACTGAATGCACACACATATACTTGTGAGCTTGAGATTGATGTAGTTAGGAAGATTTTGGCCAGGAAACCTTCTTTCCATTGGGTATTTATTTATTTATTTATTTAAAAGATTTTATTTATTTATTTGACAGACAGAGATCACAAGTAGGCAGAGAGAGAGAGAGAGAGAGGAGGAGGAGGCAGGCTTCCCGCTGAGCAGAAAGCCCGATGTAGGGCTCGATCCCAGTACCCTGGGATCATGACCTGAGCCGAAGGCAGAGGCTTTAACCCACTGAGCCACCCAGGCGCCCCATCCATTGGGTATTTATTGAGATTCCTTCTCAAATGCTTTTTGGGGTCTTGGGAAATTTGTTTTTGGCCTTAATACAGTATACAGAACACAGAGTCCTCGTGTGGAATCTTATACAACCCACAGTTCTAGTTATGAACTTTAGAGCACTCATGGTTCTCGCAGGTGGAAGGTTCGAGTTAGGGGACTGTAATGAGTCAGAATTTAGGTGAACTAAATCAGATACAGAGTCTTAAATATAAGCTGTGGCTATTAGTTGAATTTTTAGTTGGATTTTGTTTTAAAGTGACTACATTAAGTATTTTTCCAAAATTAGTTTTTTCTTCGAATTACTCTGGCCAGAGGGTTTTGGAGCTGAAATGTTTGTGCTCTGATTTGCAGATTTCATGAAATTTCAGTTCTGTTTTCAAATTGCTCATCACAAAAATCACTGTCTTTGCATTTTCCCAAATCATTGATATTTTTAAAGAACCAAAAATGTTATTTTAATTTTTTCAGTGTAAAGAATGGAAGCTACAGTGTGTTAGCCCTCTTGTTTTGGGATTGAGAGAAGAAAGGGAAGAGAATACAAACGCCTAATACTCCTGTTCTTTTTCTGCCCAAGTCAGAAAATCAGTGGATTATCTAACAAAACATATCCCAGAACAGTTTTTAAGTAATGTTCATGAAAGAATTAAGTTACTGTTTCTGCCAGGGACACTTACAAGTTGGCTCTTAGCCTCCTAGGTTTCCTCAAGCCCCTCTTCCAGCCGGTGCAGTGAGTACCTGCTTATGCTAACCCTCTGGCACCTGGGCGGCCTCAGCGTGTTGCTTCGTGGGCATCAGTACAGCTTCTAGGCCTAGAGCAGGAGGCCTGTTTCTCCTAAGCCTGTTTGTGCCCTGTTCCTGGGAAATAGACTATTTTTTTTTTTAAAACTGAGGAAGCAGAGGCTGGATGCGGGGGGGCAGACTGATCTGACTAGATGATGACTTCTCTATGTTGGAAATGGGACCAGTTACTATATTCAGATGCATTTTACTTACTGGTGCTTTTTCTTTTTCTTTTTTTCCTGTTTTCTCTTTCTCATTTCAGGCCCCGTTTAGGAACAGTCATGCACCGGGTGGTCGGACTGGGGATTCTTTACTTTATCTTCGCAGCTATTGAAGGCGTGATGCGAGTTATTGGGGTAAAAACCGCGTAATTCCACTTCCATCCCTTTTTGCTATGAAATACGGTTTTACTTTCCATCTCCTGATTTGAACTTTTAAAGATAGGACATTTATGAAAAAGGTCCAATTTGAGTTTTTCTGTTCCCCCTAAGGAATATTTCCCTTTTTAAATACTTCCTGAAAGTAGTTAAAGTCCAGACAGAGCACTTCTTAAAGTCTGACTGATTATGAAGGCACCATTTGATGTCAGCTCAGGAATTGTTTCCATTTCAAAAACGCTCACGGTTATTTCTTTATAAAGAACATTTGTCTTTGTCACTATGAAGTCTGAACACATTCATTTCTTCCTTAACCCTTGGTCTGAACACGTGGAAGTGAATAGAATTAACTGTACCCTTCACACATGCAGACATTACAGCGCATCACTCTGAAGTCTCATTTGGTTATAAGTATTCTCCGGCTCTTGGGGACTCAGTGTGTGGAGATTCAGTGGACTCCCTTCTTGGAAGAACCACGAAAAGTTAGCATCCAGGGGGAAATGACTCAGGCAATGTGGGCCGCAATGCTTTACTCTCTAAGAGGAGGCAGAACATTTATATCTGGGAAAACCCCTAGATTTCTAGCTCTCCGTTTTTCTTAATAGTATGGTTGACAATTGAGTGATTAATCAGCTTATTATATTTTTCTTTATTCAAAGGACCTAGTAATTTTTACCCAAAATGTTTTTTGGATTAGATATGTAAATCAGATCACTGCACAGAATGAATGATCTTATGTTGCAGATTAAGTTTACTTCACATATTTTGATCTTGAAGCAGGCCATTTGTTCAATTTGTTAAAAGCCTCATTCTCCTTCTTTCTGTTATCTTTGATACATCTGCCTTCTATATTAAATACACCTGTACTTTCCATCTTTGACTCTTTGAAAGGTACATTTATTTTTACTTGTACAGACTAGTGAAGAGCTTCACATTTGTGTATATAATTTACAGGAACTAGTCCTTGCTAGAAAGAAAAAAGATAAATATCCCACATACAGATATACAGATATATATATATATACATATATATATATGTTGTATTTCTTTAAAATTTTACATAGCCAACATCTTCAATATAATTTTTAAATATGATTTTCTGTCAACCCATGATCAAAATGTCTCACCTATGGTTTGTTTTTACCGTTCCACGCTTCCTTTTCTTTCTTTTTTCATGTCCCTTCATGGATAGTAGGAAAGATCAGGAGCCCACTTCATTAGTGGCCCTGGCTATAGGTTTGGTGTGGAGAGGGGAGAGATTGAAATTGACCTAAGTGGGGCGGGGGACATGACACGTTTTACTTGCCATTTCATAATACAATTTTACATTGTGATTGAATAGATAGACGTTGCTGCCAAAACAAAAATTTCCATATGCTTAGACACAAATTTTCTAGGAATAAAACTTTTATGTGGCTTTTGTAAAGGGATGAGATGAACTAAATTGTTTTTCTTTTTCATATAATTTCTATGATACAATGAAATGTTTACATTCAGGTTTTTCCTCCATTTTTATCTTTCAGGGTTCTAACCATTTAGCTGTTCTTTTTGGTGACATTATTTTGGCAGTTATTGACTCCATTTTTGTATGGTTCATATCCTTTACCATGTCCTAAAGTAGTTTGCTGTACCATTAAAATCAGGTTACTTTCAGTTTGTATTTATAATAATAGAAAGAAATGTAGGTATACATTATTTTTAACCTCAGTATAGGAATTTAGTTAAAGGTGAAAAAGCAATCATTCCCCAAAAAAAGAATATCTTTTATTTTTTCTGTTAGTTCAGCAAACTTAAGTACTCACTATGTGCCCTGTGCTGAGGAGGCAGAAAAGAAAAAGGTATTGTCCCTGTGTTTAAGGAATTCACACTCTGGGAGGGAGGACAAACATATAACTCAGAGCAATATAGCAATAGTAATTGCTGTTTTAAAGAGGTGCTGTGCAAACAAGAGGAAAGAGAAAGTAATTGTAGTGCAAAAACCAGGGAAGACTTCAACAGAGGTGGTGACATTAAATTGTGACCAAGGGAACAGATTGGGTTAACTGGGAAAAGAATTGGGGGAAAGGCATCCTGGGAAGAATAGAGGGGAAGAAATAGTTGGACGCATGAAAATATGGGGGCAGTGATAGAAAGTCCCGGAGTAGCTTACCTATAAGTGGATGTATGTGGGAGAACCATGGAAGGCGGGGCCGGAAGGGAAAGGTAGAATGACGTGCTCAAGAGTCTCATGTTCTTTCTGTGGGGAGAAAGGAAAGGAAATCAAAGCTGCCCAGGTGAGCAGCATGGTGAAATCTGTGTTAGAAAGAACTCAAGAATGACATTTAAAAATGACCTGGAAGGGGCACCAGGCCGGCTCAGTTGGAAGAGTGTGCAACTCTTTTTTTTTTTAAGATTTTATTTATTTGACAGAGAGAGCGAGCGCACAGGCAAGGGGAGGAGCAGAGGGAGAAGCAGGCTCCCCATTGAGCAGGGAGCCTGATGCAGGACTTGATGCCAGGACCCTAGGATCATGACCTGAGCCAAAGGCAGATACTTAACCAACTTAGCCACCCTGGTGCCCCAAGAACATGCAACTCTGGATCTCAGGGTTGTAAGTCCATACCCCACATTGGATATAGAAGTAATTTAAAATCTTATATAAATAAAAATGTAAAAATGACCTGGAAAAGGAGATCCTAGAGTCTAGAGATAGGAAGTCTGATAAAGAGTTATTTGCAGTAGTCCAAAAAAGAGATGGTGAGGGTTAAAAATAGGGCAGAGGGAATGGAAAAAAGACTCCAGATGATAGACTTAGTAGAAATGGGTGGGAAAAGAAGGGAGAGAGCTCCAGAGAGGTCTTGCTGTCTCAGTGGGTGGCTGGGGATAGTGTTGCCATCCCCAAGGCAATGAACTTAGGGAAGGGACCATAATGGATGAAATGTGAGCCACCTAAGGCATTAGTGTTAAGCAGAGTTGGAAATCCCTGTCTGGGTTTGTAAGAGGAATTGGAATTGGTGATGAATGTTGGAGGTCATCTTCATGTGAAAGAAGGTTGCAGCCCATGGAAGTGACCCAAGAACACATAGACCAGTGAGAGAGGAGAGGACCAGGATGGTGCCCAATGGGGGTGGAAACATGCATGGAAGAAACACCTGGGTGGAGGGAGGTAGAAGAAACTAGAAATTGTCCTGGGGTGAAGCTTTGGTAAAGAGGGGTGGTCAGCAGTGGCCAGTACTACAGAGAGATGAACTGCTAGGGTATACGTGGCTTTGGTCATTCCAGAGGTCACAATGCGACAGCAAGAGAGCAGCCTCAGTGACGCTGGTGAGGCAGACGCCATGTTACTGCAGAAGTTTTAGAAGCAAAGTAACCTTGAGGACCCTCCTCGCTGCTTCAGTGACTCCAGTGGAGTCTGTTTAACTCCAAGGCAGAGCCCTCTAATTTGCATTCGAGGAAATGGGAGGAGCTCTAAAGAAACTGTGACCTGGTCAGAGCAGAATGCAGTGTTACGTGTATCCCGAAACATTATTTTTATCTCTTTCTTCTGCATTTACATCCTCTTTGAAACTCTTTTCTATAGATAGATTTTATTTTTACCAAGTTTTTTGTTTGTTTCCATTGTCTTTGATACTTGTCTTTTTGCTTTTAATATTAACTGTTCTTTTGTTTCCTTGTAATTTCTTTCCATTTTCTCATCTTTACCTCTCGTAGGAAGGCCAGAGGGCTTGAGTTTGCCTGTGTTCCTCTGCAAGGAAGCCCTTCTTTCTGCAGGCATGCTAACAAACATGGCCTTTTTGAGTCCCCTGTGGGTGATTTTTTCCAAACCCAGTGTGTCTGCTCTTTAAACTCCCTATTTGTGAATTTTTAGTATGCTTCCAAGTTAAAAACAAAAGAAAAAAGCCTTTTAATTTACCATCCCTACTCTCTAAAGCAGTGGTTCTTAGCCTTGTTTGGGTACTGGGACCAAAGATGCCTTTGAAAGTCGATTGAAAGCTGGGGAGCCTCTTTTCACAAGATTAGAAACACACACCCCACAAAAGTTTTGCCTGCAGTGGGGCATTTTAAAATGTCCACAAAATTATATCCATGGATTCCCTACTGTCTGAGGAGTATCTAGTTAAGAAATAATACCTGATTTAAAGAGTTGTTTCTGACCGAACTTGCTTAAAAATCTGTTCTACTTTTGTTCAGAGCTACTAGTTTAGAATCCATGTTTGTTGAAAAAAATTATACTTAAATACATCCTTTCCAAGAATGATACTAAGCTTACAGTAGTGTAATTTTTATATTTTCCACATGAAAACACATTTAAAGACATTGAGCTGTTAAAAAAGGTGAACTACATTGCTCAGTTCTGCCCATGACGGTGCTCTGGCCATGAGAGCTAATCCCCAGGGGCCGTGATTCCTGTTCTGCCACAGCCGCATCACTCGTTAGGGATTCTCGGCTGACCCGAGGAAAAGGGGCAGGTAGGATGAACTTACGTGCCAACAGGATGGGCAAAATCGTGGTGAAGATGAACCTAGCTGGTAGTCTCAGCATTGCCAGCTCCAGATCTTCACTTCCTCCCTTCTGTCATTGTGCATTTAGAAAGTGAGCTTAAGATAATCTGCTTAATCTGGAATTGTCTCCAAAAGTATATATGTTTGGAACCTTTAAGAAGTTAGCGAGTATGTTTTTCAGTCAACTAACTGAGCTATAGACCTGGCATTTTTAAAAATCTGTATTATGTTTTTTCTTGGTGATTTACTGGTAGGTTTTTCAAAGATTTGTTCTTAACCATCCACAAGGTAGTTCACTGGGAAAAAACAGTAATGCAGCTTGGCAGGAACTTCCAAAGACAAGCAGTTCTAAAGGCCCAATTCCATCGAGATTTGAATGAGGGTAATTTATCACCTTTATGGACAGTGTTCACTTTGGACCATTCCAACACATAATGTGCCAAATTGGAATGGGGAGATAAGAGAAACAAGGAAAAAATTTAGTTTGCTTAATGATCAATATTTTTAATAAAGCAGTTTGAAATAAGAGTCATAAAGAAATCTAGAAATTAAAATTATCTTGGTTAGTGTTTCATGGTGAGATGAAGAAACTTTGTCCATTTCAGCTGGCACCTGATTTTCCTATGTTTGCTTTTAGATGGCTATTTGACAGAGAGTAGATTTTTTTAAATTATTACAAATGGCAAGCAAAAGAAGCAGGTCTATATACAGAACTGAGCGCTTGTGTGACGACTCTGCTTTGCTCGATGAACCTAACATAGCTATCCTGTAACAGTCCGGTTCTGAAGTAAAACTAGAAATAACCTGAAAAAATCAAAGCCATTGCTTTTCTCATGAAGCCCCCTTCCTCTTTTTTTCCTGCTTGTTTTAATTTTGTGCTGTTTTGCTGCAGGCAAGTGACTCTGATCTTGTGCTTCTGGCCAGTCTCCCTCTCTCTCTCTCCTTGACTCTGGCTTGTGCTGGTGGATATCCTTTTCCTACTGCAACAGCATGTTCCTGTTGCTTCTCGCTTCAGGATAACCAGGCCTGTTTGTTTTTGTCACCACTTTCCTTTAAGGGGAGAAATGATTTAAGCTTTACTTAAATTTAACGGTGTCCTGGTAAAGGGAGGTTTAGGCAGTTTTGAATTTGCTTCTGATCTTTTTATTCCTCGGCTTCTCAGGAATGCTTTTGAATTATTCAGTGTGACCATATTTTTAACATAGAAAATTCATTTCAGTCAAGAATTTTGAAAAAAAGTATTTCTCTTGATAATGTTCAGTGAATACAGCATATTTACATTTCTGTAAATTCTGACAGTAGCCTTAATTGGTTGTATTGTGTTATTTTAGAAATTGATCTTCTTTTGTAACTCACTGGTCATTTAGAAAGACTAAATAGCAGTTTTGTGAGTACTACCATGAAGTTTCTGATTCATGGAAGTATTTGAAATTTAAAATAGGCATAAATACAAAGTTTGCTGCTTCTGTTCTTTTGCTCCACTCTGTTGTTTTTGGTGTACGGTTCAGGAACAAAGCTGGTGGTGTGCTCCAGAAGAAGCAACTCCCATTTACAAAGAGAGCCCTGGCTTGAATCCCGGCTTCATTGCCAAGGAATCAGTGGAGAAGCCTCTTTTTGATTCTTCATACTTGACAGTGTTGAGCTTTACCTGACCCCTGTGCTCCTGGAAAACAGCCCTGGTTAAGAAAACCCCCACCCTTTCGTGTTCCAGGAAAAGGCTTACTCCAAAGAACTTAGAGGAGACCTAAGTCCAATAGGACTTACATGAGACTCCCAGATGCCCCGTTGTTACCAGTGACAAGGCCAGACCTGTTTCCCCACTGACCAATCTGGCCAAACTAAGCAGTCTCCCTCCCTGCACCAGACTAAGCAGTCTCCCTCCCTGGGTCCCTGAGCCTTTGTCCACCACAGCCCTACTTAGTGGCCCCTCTTGAGAATCTGCACACCTCAGGGAAAGTGACTCCCTGAGCAGCTGGCCAGTCATGCCACCCACTTCCCCACACCTGCTTACCAGTCTTGTTTACCCTCCCTACAAAAACAAAGCCCTGTCTGGCCTGACCTGTGGAACTCTTACAGATCTTAAGAGTTGGAAAATCCTCCCCATGGCAGCAAACCTCCTCTGCCTGTTGCAGTAATCTCTTTCCTGACCCAAGTCCAGATTTGTTTTATTTAACATACTTCATTTTTCAATTTATACAGTGGAATTGATAGATGACCTCCCTTCTTACTTATGGTCATTCAGAGGATAAAAAGAGAGTAGACTGGAAAGAACAAAATAAGAAACAGAGACAAAGGCACAAGCCTAAGGGCATGTCATAATGTGATCTGTAAGAGTCATTGGCCTAAGGGGGAAGAGGGCTCGTTGTTTAGTGTATATACTGCTCTATCCTGTATTTTGGGAGCTGGGCATTGAAGGAGAACATCATAGGGCTTCTTGCCTTTTGTATTCCCCAGAATTTAGTTAGTTCAGACATTAGTAAAATGTAAAGCAAGATTTGTGATAAAATCAGTATTGTGGTCATACAATATTGGTTAAAGTAATATTTTTTGGGTTTTTACAGGAACTATATTTACCAGTACTAATTTTAGAAATGTAGTAGGAGATTCTTATTTTGTTTTTAAACTGTTTATTACTATTTAAAATGTCTTTCCTTAACGTTTTGCACATATTTATAAGTTTGGCACAAACTATGAAGACTCTAAGACTAAGAAAGAACACAGTGAAATTTTCTTTATACAGGCACTTTACAAATACTCTGATCTTTGCCGTACTGGGTAAGCTATTTAATTTTCTTATTATAATAATTATTTCAGTATTACATGTTCCTTCAAAGGTGACTTCTTTGGTGTGTTTCAGCTTCTATAGTGTTTATGGTGTGGACGACCAAGACATTTAGAATTGCAAAATGTCAATCAGTAAGTATAATCTTCCTATTTAAATAGTTTTCATTTTTAATTATACTATTTTGGGAAGTTCTTTATGACGCTCTAGTATATAATTTGTGTTAGGGTTTTACTTATCTGATTAGTTATAGGGCTGAAGTAGGCATTCATGTTAATTTGATAAAGAGCTCTTCTTAGTTTTTGTTAAAAAAACATGTACTGATTTGGAAGATGGACTGGTTAGAAAGATTTCATTCATGTTTGTCGTTGTACACTATTTGAATGGGAAATCTGTCTGTGTTTATCAAAAAATTAACATTTTATGTTTGAACTGTCCTTATAGGATTGGATGGAACGCTGGGTTGATGATGCGTTTTGGAGCTTCCTTTTTTCACTTATCCTTATTGTAATAATGTTTTTGTGGAGACCGTCAGCAAACAATCAGAGGTACCTAACATAGGAAAATGGAAGTTTGGCAAGCATTTGTTGATCACTGCTCCTGTGTTCAAATAAAAACCCATTTATAGAAACTGAGAAAGTAGTCCTCTCTTTTAAAGGAGTACGCAGTCAAGTAGGGAGATGGACATAATGCAACACAGTGAAATAAGATTTGTATGAACTAGGAAGTCCGGGGGAAGACCGAAGAGGGATGAGGAAGCCTCCTTGAAAGGCAGCATCTTCCTCAAGGAAAGAAGCAGAGCCATGAAAAGCTGAGCTGAGAAAGAATGTACATTTTCTGAGGTAGTGGGGGAAAACATGGTATACCTTCGTCGTCATTGAGGCATTTGATTTTGGTTAATACTGCTTACATTGGAGGGAAGTAAAGCTGAAAAGGAAAGGTGGGGCCAAAATCAGAAGGAGCTTGAGTCGTATATTCAGGTTGTTCCATTGGCTTCATGTGATGGGAAAGCCCACCTGCCCTCGCCTCACTCCTCTTCCCCAGGGAAAGGGCTGTGAAGTTTCTTGAATACCCTTCTAGGGAACTGAAAAGTATATACTGTGTGTTGTGTTTCTCCCTCTCTCTTTTTTTTTTTATTTATTTATTTGACAGACAGCGATCACAAGTAGGCAGAGAGGCAGGCAGAGAGAGAGGAAGGGAAGCAGACTCCCTGCTGAGCAGAGAGCCTGATGCAGGACTTGATCCCAGGACTCTGGGATCGTGACCTGAGCCGAAGGCAGAGGCTTTAACCCACTGAGCTACCCAGGTGCCCCACTCTCCCTCTCTTTTTAAAAGTACATAATAATTGGGACACATGGGTGGCACACTTAGGCGTCCAACTCTTGGTTTTGGCTCAGGTCATGATCTCAGGGTCATGAGATCAAACCCTGAGTCAGGTTCCAAATTCAGTGCCGAGTCTACTTAGGACTCTCTCCTTTGCCCCACCCCATTGTGCATGTGTGCTCGTGTGCACGCGCATACACACACACACACACACACACACACACACACACATTTTCTCTCTCTCTCTCTCATAAATAGATACATCTTTTTTGTAAAAGTATTTAATAATTATGCAGAAATACATACATACACATATACACTGCTCTTCACCTTCTTGTTTAAGATGTTTCTTTCCATATCATCTTGTATAGATATACCCCATTTTTTTTTTTTAAGTAGGCTCCATGCCCAATGTGGGGCTTCAGCTCACGACCCTGAAGTTGAGAGCAGCTTGCTCTACTGATGGAGCCAGCCAGCTCTCCCTCGATCTCCCACATTATTTTTAATGGCTCTTTGGCATTCCATGATATGAATGTAGCCTAATTTATAGAAGCAGTCCCTAATTATTAAGCACTTTGCTTCTAGGATTATTGTTATTATCAGCAATCCTTTCTGAATGTATTTTTTACCTAGCAAATGTGGCTCAGTCGGTACGCTTTATTTTCACCAGTAAGATTAGCAGTTCACCTTTTGTTAGGGGTTAAGTTAACAAGTAGTGGGCAGGGAGGGTAAACCTAACAGGGAGAAAAAAAGTAGAGCAGGAAGTTCCCTTCCCTGAACATTGAAGAACTGCTTTCCAGAAAGATCTTATCCAGTTACACTTTCACCAGCAGGGCTTGGAGCTCCACCTTCACTGTTGGATTGCTAATAATTTTTCCTAATTTGAGAGTAAAATTAGTTAAATATTCGTTATTTGAATTTATAAGAAATTTTTAAAATGTAAATATTTCTGTATGTAATGACGCTTTTAGATATCAACTGAAAACCGAACAGGTTTAAATATACTAGGAAAACTACTCCTTGTTTCTGATGTAGATATGCCTTCATGCCGTTAATCGATGATTCTGATGATGAAATTGAAGAATTTATGGTACCATCTGAAAACTTAAGTAAGTGACATGTTCTCTTATTAAATGACCGTTGTATTGTACCTTTACTTATGATGCAAAGTCAGATATATTTTTTTTCCTATTAAAATAATTTTAAAACTATATCTGCCCAAACCCCTTTTATGGTAGACAGTCACAAAAGGAAGTCAGTAACGAAATTTTCATGATCATTAATGTAGTTTGTGCTTTTGCTACTTGTTTGCTTTTAAAGTCTACGTATTAAAGTAGGTATACTGTTTCACACTAATAATTTAGTTTAGATTTTGCTTAGCTCCTAATAATCTTCTTAACGAGGATTGCTAAATTTTCTTGAATCACCTCTTCTTGCTTTTCAGAATTATAAATATCTGTTCATTCCCATAGCATTTGTAATTATAGTTTTAGTGCTATTTTCATCTTTCAATTAATTTCTACATAGCACTTTATCATTTTATTAATTTTTTTTAAGATTTTATTTATTTATTTGACAGAAATCACAAGTAGGCAGAGAGGCAAGCAGAGAGAGGGCGGGGAGGCAGGCTTCCCTCTGAGCAGAGAGCCTGATGTGGGACTCGATCCCAGGACCCTGGGATCATGACCTGAGCCGAAGGCAGAGGCTTTAACCCACTGAGCTACCCAGGTGCCCCTCATTTTATTAATTTTAACCATAGTACTTGGAACATCTGTTAAGGCAACAATACATAATTCAGTTGCTGAGAATAAGTAAGTGTAGAGCTATAATGTGTTTATGAATTGTAACTCTCAATATTATTAAGCAGTCAGTACCACAGTCTGATGAGTAGAATCAGTGCAATCCCAATCATAATTCTAACTGACCTTAAAAAAAAAATAGTTAATGTGATTTTATTTTTTTAAAAGATTTTATTTACTTATTTTAGAGAGTTGTTTTTTTAAAAATTTATTTTAGAGAGAAAGACTGAAAGAGCATGGGGGTAGGGCAGAGGGAGAAAAGAATCTTAAGCAGGCACCCCACTGAGCACTGAGCCTGACATGGGGCTTGATCCCAGGACCCTGAGATCATGGCCTGAGCTAAAATCAAGAGTCAGACGCTCAACCGACTGTGGCATTCAGGTGCCCCAGTTAATCTGATTTTAAAATATGTGTGAAAAAGTAAAGGACCTAGAAGAGCCCATTCTTTTTTTTTTAATTAATTAATTTATTTATTTATTTATTTATTTATTTAAGATAGAGAGCATGGGCATAGGTAGGGGGAGGCAGAGAAAGAAGCAGACTCCCCACTGAGCAGAGAACATGATTCAGGAGCCCAAACATTCTTGTAGTTACAACATGGACAAATCTTGAAAACATTATACTAAGTGAAAGAAGCCAATCCTATAGATCACAAATTGTATGATTCCAGTTAAATGAAAAGTTCATAAAAGGAAAATCCATACAGCAGTGCCTGGGTGGCTCAGTAGGTTAAGCCTCTGCCTTCGGCTCACATCATGTTCTCAGAGTCCTAGAATCAAGCCCCGTACCAGGCTCTGCTCGGCAGGGAGCCTGCTTCCCCCTCTCCCTGCCTCTCTGCCTGCTTGTGATCTCTCTTTCTGTGAAATGTATAAATAAAAAAAAATTTTTTTATTAAAAGGAACATTATTTAAAAAAAAAAGTTAAATCCATAGAGACAGAATGATAGACATGCAGTTTCTTTTTAGGGTAATGAAAATCTTTTTGTTGTTGTTGTTTCTTTCTTTCTTTTTTTTTTTGAAGATTTTATTTATTGGGGCACCTGGGTGGCTCAGTGGGTCAAGTGTCTGCCTTCGGCTCAGGTCATAATCCCAGGGTCCTGGGATTGAGCCCCACATTGGGCTCCCTGCTCAGCGGGAAGCCTGCTTCTCCCTCTCCCTCTGCCTGCTGCTCCCCCCTTCTTGTGCTCTCTCTCATTCTCTGTCAAATAAAGAAAAAATCTTTTTAAAAAAGTACCATTTAAAGATACTATTTTTTTTTGTCAGAAATTGAGAGCAGGAGTGAGGGGAAAAGCAGAGGGAGAAGCAGGCTCCCCTCTGAGCAAGGAGCCCGATGTGGGACTTGATCCTAGGACCTTGGGGTCATGCATGACCTGAGCAGAAGGCAGATGCTTAACTGACTGAGCTACCTAGGCATCCAGAAAATCTTCTGAAATTAGTGGTGATGGTTGTCCTGAAATCTACCGAATTGTACACTTCAAGATGGTACATTTTATAGTGTGGAAATTCTATCTCAATAAATAAAATTAATGGACTTATAGTAATTTCAAGACTTATGAAAATTTCAAGTTATACTAATCAAGATAGTGTGATATTGGCAGAAGGATGGAGAAACACAGCAATGTTTCAAAATATAGTTCAGGGGTGCCTGGGTGGCTCAGTCATTAAGTGTCTGCCTTTGGCTCAGGTCATGATCCCAGGTCATGGGATCAAGCCCTGCATCAGGCTCCCTGCTCAGTGGAGAGCCTACCTCTCTCTCCCCCACTCCCCCTGCTTGTGTTCCCTCTCTCTCTGTGTCTCTCTCTGTCAAATAAATAAATAAAATCTTTAAAAAATAAAAAAGTCCAGAAATAAATCCACACGTATATGGTCAGTTGATACTGTTGTCATTACTGCATTAAAATAACATTCTGGAGAACGTACTTTTCGAAGTACCCAGTTGATTTCACATAGTAGGTTTCTAAAGGTTTTGCTTTTTAAAAGGAATGCAACAAAGGCACCTGGGGGACCCAGTTGGTTGAAAGTCCTGTTCTTGGTTTCAGTTTAGGTCATAATCTCAGGATTGTGGGATCTGGCCCCAGATCAAGCCCCTGCTAGGCGTGGAGTCTGCTTGGGATTCTCTTTCTCCCTCCCCTTCTGCCCTTCCCCCCTCTATAAATAAATAAATGAAATTTTAAAATATTAATAATAAAAGGAATGCAATAATTAAAGTAGTTCCAAACTGGAAACCTCATTCATCAACTGATCTTTACAAGAGAACCACGATGTTCTATGAGGACACAATAGTATTGTCAACAAAGAGTTCTGGAACAACTAGATGAACACATGGAGGAAAATTCACCTAGACTTCTTATACAGATATCACATAATAATAAATTCAGGATGGACCACAGACCTAGATGTGAGAACGTAAACTATAACTCTTCTGCGGGCACCTGGGTGGCTCAGTCGGTTAAATGTCTGACTCTTGATTTCAGCTCAGGTCATGATCTTAGGGTTGTGAAATTGGGCCCCATGTTGGGCTCTGAGCTGGGTATGGAACGTGCTTAGGATTCTCTCTCTCCCTCCCTTTTCCCTCCCCCCCCAAAAAAACTATTAACTCGTCTGAAAGAAAACAAAATATCTTAAAAACCTTAGGTTAGACAGTTTCTTAGAACATAAGCAGTTACCATACAATTTTAAAAACTAGTAAATTGACTTTACAAAAATTAAAATACTCATCCAGAGAAACAAGAAAACAAAGGGCCAGGCTGAGACTTGAATAAAAAATTCTCTGTACATATATCTGAGAAAAGACTTGTATCTAAAATATAAGTAAAATTCCTATCAATCAATAAAATATAACTCAATTTGTAAAAACAAAAAAATACTTGAATAGACACATCACCAAAGAAGACAAAGGAATGACTAATAAGCATGTGAAAAGGTGCTCAGTATAATTGGTTATCAGGGAAACACAAAACTAGAGTGAGAAACCACCACATACCCACTAGAATGGTTAAAATTTAAAAGACTGACAGCATGAAATGTTGGAGAGGATATAGAAGAGCTAGCTCACTCAGACACTACTGGAAGGAGTGTAAAGTACTAAGACTTCTTTAAAAAAACAATTTGGTTCTAAAAATTTAAAAAAAAATTGATTTTTAAAAAGTTGAACCTATGCCTACCATACAACCCAGCCATTCTTTTTTTTTTTTTTTTTAAGACTATATTTATTTATTTGAGAGAGCATGAGAGGAGAGAGGTCAGCAGGAGAAGCAGACTCCCTGCTGAGCAGGGAGCCTGATGTGGGACTCGATCCCGGGACTCCAGGATCATGACCTGAGCCGAAGGCAGTCGCTTAACCAACTGAGCCACCCAGGCGCCCCCAACCCAGCCATTCTATGCCAAGCTATTTATTTATCCAGAAAAAATTATAGAAATGAAAGTAATATTCATAGAAAGACACTGATGTACACTATTATTTTCCAGCAGGTTTATTCTTAATAGTTTAAAACTGGATATAGCCCAGTGTCCATCAACAATAGATAAGTATTTGTGGTATACCCACACAACATGGCCCACACAGTAGATAAAGTAGCCCACACAGCGGGCTCCTGTTCCATCTCAAAAGTAACCAACACTGCAACATAAATCTCAAAACCTTTATGTTGAGTGAAAGCAGGCAAATCCAAAAGAATACAGAGCCCATGGATTATGGTTCTATATGTGAAATTCCAGAACAGGCAGAACTAAGCAGTGGTGATTATGTGAATCAGAACAATGATTGCTTCTGGTAGGATTAGGATTGACCAGAAAGGAATTTAAAGAACCTTCTATAATGTTGGAAATGTTAAAGGTCTCACCTGAGGTGGTAGTTACACAAGTGTATATGCTTGTAAAATCTCCTAGACTGTACACTTAAAATTTGTGTATTTTATTATCTGTATTGCACCTTAATTTTAAAAATCAGTGTATTGCCCCATTGAGAGAATAGATCTCAAATGTTGGGATTTTAAATATCCCCATGGAGGGGCATCTGGGTGGCTCAGTCGTTGAGTGTCTCCCTTCAGCTCGGGTCATGATCCCCGGGTCCTGGGTTCGGGCCCCCGCATCGGGCTCCCTGCTTGGCGGGAAGTCTGCTTCTCCCTTTCCCACTCCCCCTGCTTATGTTCCCTCTCTCGCTGTGTCTCTCTGTCATATAAATAAATAAATAAAAAACATTTTTTTTAAAAGATTTTATTTACTTATTTGACAGACAAGTATGCAGAGAGGCAGGCAGAGACAGAGAGAGGAGGAAGCAGGCTCCCCCTGAGCAGAGAGCCCGATGTGGGGCTCAATCCCAGGACCCTGGGACCACGACCTGAGCCGAAGGCAGAGGCTTTAACCCACTGAGCCACCCAGGCGCCCCAATAAATAAAATATTAAAAAAAAAATACCCCCATGGAAACATTTTTTGATCAAGGAACCTCATTTTCATTCATTATAGCACTTCATGATTATAATATACCAATTGACCTTGTTTATGGAGAAACAGGATTTGCAAATTATTTTAATAATTAAGATGAATACTTATGGGACATAAATTACATGTCAGACACCTTGTATACACTAACTTGTTTAATGCTCATCAGAACCCTATGAAGTGGAGATCAGTATTATCCCATTGTGTTGCTGGGGACACTGAGTCACAGAAAGTTAACTGCTTTGCCCAGGGTTGCATAGGGAGACCCAGAATCCTAGATGGGGCAGTCTAGTTCCAGGACTCATGCTCTTAACCTCTGCTCTGAAACTGCTGGCAGAAAGGAGAGCCTCGGTCAGATAGGAAGAAAGAAAATCCTCTTCCCTATTTTATTTTGACCATAGGTACATTCCAAAATGTACGCATCAGAGAAGTAAAGGCATAGCCAAAGATGTTTTATTATTAAATATGATACTGCAAATTCTACAGATTTTTATTTTTACTTTATTTTTTAAAAGATTTTCTTTATTCATGAGAGAGAGAGGCAGAGGCAGAGGGAGGAGCAGGCTCCCTAGAGAGCAGGGACCGTGATGCAGGACTTGATCCAGAATCTCAGGATCGCAACCTGAGCTGAAGGCAGACGCTTAACTGACCAAGACACAGGGGCGCCTCATCTATAGATTTTTTAAATCCATAAACTTTAAAATGTATTGAAACTATCTAAGGAAATATGTATTTATGTTTGCTTGTATGTTTAAATTCCTCTAAAACTAGAATTCTAAACTAGCATCTTGAAAACCTTGTTGTTATTGGAAACATTTGTGAAATCTATTAATTTTTGCCATTCCTCTTACATTTCCAAGTTGTATGTTAAAGTCAGCACCCTGCCTGAAGCTTCCAGTATTAACTCTTCTTTAAATATACGCAAATGTGAATAATTAGTATACATATAAATCTCTCTATATAAACATATCTTTGTTGGGTTATTAAATGTGAGATTATGAAAGAAAATAACATTTTCTAATTTATATATTTCTCTCCATAATGTTTCTCATTATAGCTGAAGGAATAAAATTAAGAGTCTCAAAAACGGTTTCCAACGGAACAGCTAAACCTGCTACTTCTGATAATTTTGTGAGTATAGGATATTTTAACAGAGTCTGTGTCACATTCACTGACTGTCAGGAAAACTTTTTCTACTAAGATTTTTTTGTATGACATTCGGTGTTACTGAGCAGCAACACTAGTTAAGCCTGCTGGCCGTTACTGCGGTAGACTCCGGCTGCCAGGGCCGTTCTTGGACACTGCATGAGCGTCGCTGGGAGCATGTTCAACTCGCGGGCTCAGGCCCACCGCAGACCTACTGAGTCTAAATCTGCTTCTTCACAGGATCCCAGAGATGACTCACATGCACACTAAAGATGGAGAAGCTTTGACATAGTAGAAGCTTGTGTTAATTTTTCAACATTTTTAAAGTGATTTTTGAAGCCATTTCAGATAACATCTGCTATCTGTTAGGAAAGGACTTTATGTATTGCCTGTGTAGTTAACAAAATTAGCATTTGTTACAGAACTGTGGAAGTTTGAAGAAAATGGCAAAATAGAGAGTAGAGATAAGTTTTTTAAAATATTTTATGCATATTAATTAGGCACAGTGGGAGTGCCTCTCATATAGTTTTATATTCTGCTTTCTTATAGTTAATATATGTTGTGATCAACAGAGTATGAAATTTATGTATGCTTATAAATTCTGACAGGATAGATGACCCAGGAGAACAGTTTGATCTGTTGGTTTTGGTGAATTTTTTCATTTTTATTTTTGATAATAATTTTTAAATGTGTTTTTTAAGTAGTTTTATGGTGATTTAAACTTTTTAAAAATTACAACAGTTTTAATTATCTGGTGTTAGAGCTATTAAAGTTTAAATTCATTAAGATATTTTCCTTTTGGGATGCCAGGGTGGCTCAGTCGTTGGGCATCTGCCATTGGCTTGGGTTTGTGATCCTGGGGTCCTGGGTTCGGGCCCCGCTTCGGGCTCCCTGCCCAGTGGCAAGCCTGCTTCTCCCACTCCCCCACCCTGTTTGTGTTCCCTCTCTCACTGTGTCTCTCTCTGTCAAAATGGATAGAATCTTTTAAAAAAAAAAACATTTTCCTTTTATTTTAGAGATATGTGTCAGTTTATTTTATTTTATATTTTTTAAGATTTTATTAATTTATTTGACAGAGAGAGGGATCACGAGTAGGGGAAGGAACAGAGGAAGAAACAGACTCCCCACTGAGCAGGGAGCCTAGTGTGGGACTCGATCTCAGGTCCCTGGGATCGTGACGGGAGCCGAAGGCCGACACTTAACTGACTGAGCCACCCAGGCATCCCTGTCTCACTTTATTTTAAAACTCCATGCTTGCAAACACATCAAGGGAATACTTTTTCATTTCCCTAAATTAAGGGCAGTCAGCTCTTAATCAGAAGCCTTATCTCAAGACTTATTTCTGCTTGAGACTCACTCAGAGAATTGGGGTTCCTATTAATACTGGCTCAGCTGCCTTGTTTCTCTCCTAGGTGAGCAAGATGTGATTAATACTAGAACCAAAGTATTCCATGTAGCCAGATTACAAAGAAACATTTTGATTTATTTTATTTAATAAATCAAGATACTTAATATACCTTTTATTTTTCTTTCTCCCTGTGAGATAACCATAAGTAAGTCTCTGTTAAGAAACAGATACCCTGACCGACCTGCTTTCCTTTCCTTGTCTCCTGCAGAGAGATGAGCATAAATAGAAGTGACAGAAATAAATAGGCTTTTGTAAATTTAGTAATAAGCAACTACTTGATTTTTAACGATGACTTCAGAGGAGTGGTCGTCACTAGGTGCTTGTTATTTTGTACTCCAGTTGCACCATCTCCTGGATCGGGTATAACAATACCACATTTGGCTATTGGGAGCTCTTGAACTCAGTCATCCCTGAGAACTACAGAGAGTTGATTCAGAGTTCAACTTACTGAAATTTGCCCCAGACAGTACAAAATTCCAGTTTGGTTTTGCTTTTGCAAACCAAACTGTCATCTTTTTCTTTTGAAAGATTATAAACTCATCATATAAAAACTTGAACAAATTAGGAGGCATAATGAATGCTAGGAGTAAAAAAACAATAAAAATCAATATTCTTGCTATTTTCAGTCTTATAAATAAACTGTGTTTCTACTATGGTTTTTCAGGACAAAGAAATAAAACCTGTGAATCTAATAAAAACCAAGAAGTATGAAATTCTGAAATCCAAATTTTTGTTTCTTTGCCTGTTTAAGAAAATACTGGCATAATTTCTGTGTGGCCTACATGCCAACTTCTTAGGAGATGTAGAAATGAAAAGGATTGTGCATTTGAATTTAAATGCTTAAATTTATATACATTATACCTTAAAATTCTACTTTCAGGGATACTAAGCAAATGCTAATATATAAATATTTATTTCTACAGGATGAAGATTTGAAGTGGGTAGAAGAAAATATTCCCTCCTCATTCACAGATGTGTAAATATCCTCTGTTAAAGTTTGATTCTAAAATTTAGGATATCGTATAAAGAGATAATTTTCATACTTTGTCATGTGCTTTTCAAATATCGTACCTCTATATGTTTTTATAAGCCCCCATCACTAGTGAATGACCAGTTTCATGTCATGTTTGTTGGTGAACCGAGGTGTTTATTTCCATTGGCTGTGTCCCTCCAGAAATGAGAATTTGTAGATCACAGACTATGCCTATATTCGGCTTTAGTACATACACTGGCCTTTTAATGACATTGTTGTCTGTTTTTGTTTTGTTTCAGGGCTCTTCCAGTGTTAGTGGATTCAGACGAGGTAAAACATTTTTTGCGTATTTTCTTGGTGCTGTTATTTTCACAAAGTAGAAGTGTATTTCAGAAAGAAATTCTGGAAATTTATAAAATGATGACAAATTCAGCAGGTTGGAAGACTGCACTGGTTTGTCAGTAAAGTATAAAGGAGCTCGATCCGCATTTAAAACAGGAGAAAGATAAGCGCTTGTTGGTATGAAGGAAGGGAGAATTGTAAGATTTCAAGTCTATGATTTTCTAACTTCTTGTATGTCGGTAAGAGTTTAGAATACTTTAAGATGGCAGTTTGTCTAAATTAATCTATACTTGACATATTTTGGGGGGATATTAAATAGAGTTTCTATCTCATATTTATTTATTAACCTGGAGATTTGAATAGAAGATGTGGATTTGGGAAGGTTTGGGGGAGAAAAATGAGTTACAGATCATCTGGACATTGGAGTGTGGCCCACGACGGGAAGAAGTCTGAATTACAAGAATTAAAGGGTGGATATGGGGACAGGAGCTTACAGGAAGGAACTGCAGAGGACCATGAGTGGTAGCCTAGGTGTGATTTAGGTGGTGGCCGGGGAGCAGGAGAGAACCCGCGGCTGTGTTGACGGAAGGGAAGGGCGGTGACCGGCTGTAGCAGGCTGATCTGACGGTAGGCGGCAAGTTTTGAGGAGGCTGCAGTAGACACGCACCTGGCTACAAAGGAGTTGAACTTGAGGATTTAGAACTCTACAGAAAGACACGCCCTGGAGAATTGCTTTTAAACGGGCACTTAGAGGATTCATATAAATAATTTTGTAATTTCAAATACATGAATTGTGTAAAGTGAGGCAGATCCCCAGAGGAACTCTGCCTCGGAGATCCATGTTAGCCCCTTCCCTGCATCTCCCTGCTAATTCTGAACTCCAGACGTTTCCCAGCTAGCAGGCTGTTCAGGTTTTCTGAACTTGCCAACGGATATTGAGCATACCTCACTAGAAGTATGTATTATCTGGTGTTTATTTTCTGTATCTAATATTTTTGTGTGTACCAGTGACTCTACTTAGTCCCCCACAAAATCGTGACCATTGAAAGATTAGAGAATTCTGTTATGTTCTGGAAGGAGCATCAACATTTGCAAGTATATCATCTTTTGTTGTTGTTGTTGTTGTTTTTTAAGGAAATCATGACCAGATCTGAAATGGCAGAAAAAATGTTCTCGTCAGAAAAGATAATGTGATTGAAACCCATAGAAGTGACACCTAGTTAACGGTGAAGGCCTTCCTCAAGACTGAAAGCGGGCTTTGTTTTGATGGAGTGCAACAAGATTTCATTGCATTATCTTGGACATCTGTGTATTACAACTAAGAATTCAGGTGGTATGAGGGTTCTACGACCATTTTAAGCTGCTCTGGAATGTCGGCTTCATGTCCATCAAATTGCCTGGATTTGGAAATAATGTAAGAAAAGTATTATGATTAAAAAAATATGCCCAAATCCCCTTAGCTGAGCGGTTAATAGGGACGTGGATTTGGGTTTTCTCTTTTCTCTGGAAAATATGATGATTCCAGACTTAAAAATATTTTTTACATAAACACTCCTACTGTCACTAACCTTTGAGGTAGATGATGTGACTCTTCTGTAGTAAAGCAGCATCTCCATCTCTTGGGTGTATAGTTACTAGATGCAATAATAATTTTCTTTGACTTTTATACTGAAGTGATTTGAAATTAAGTACAATTTGGTTAGCCTTAGAACATGAGCATGTTTATATGGTTAGCTTTGGTGTGTGTGTGTACATATACATACGGGTCCACACAAAGTCCTTGTTTGTGAATATCACCATGCACACCAAATCAGAGTTGGGTCCTCTCTGAGCTCAGGGGAACACAAGTACACAGGAAAGAGGTCTTGATCACTTCCAAGGATTTGCTCTGTCATTGTCCCCTCAGGCCATATGTGCACGTGCTGCTGCGGAATCTGTCTGGGGCAGGTGCTAGACATGTGGCCATATTGCAGTTCCTCTCTGGCAAGCTGGGGGGCTCACTACCAGTGACCCTTGTAGATGCTAGAACACCCTTTACATAATCTTGGTTTATTCGGTTTCATAATGAAACATGTATTTACCTGCACAGTATGTCACTATTAATCTTGTAATAATTCCTTAACCTTTAATCATGTTTTACAGATCACTTTGTTACATTATGTATGTAATACATGATTTGAGAATTTTTTGTTTTAATATTTTTTTAAGTGCAGAACATTCTAAACTTGAAAAGTAGTTGAATGTAGAATGTTGGAAATGTGAATGTTTTGCTGCTTTCATGACCAAAGATACAGGGCTAGTGGACATTTAGAATAGGAATAAAAGTTAGAATCTTGTAGCTCTTTTTTGAATTGAGAATGACTTCAGAGAATTTTGATTGAGAAGCATTTAAAGTCTTAACCAGTACAAACATTTAAGTATAACTGTTAATTTATTTTCATTGTGAAGCTACAAAACAGAAGTTTTTCTTCCAAACCTGCCTTTTCGATTTATTTCTCATTTACTCATGTAATAGGAGTTAGCAAAAAAAAAAAAATCTAGCAATAACGTGTCTTGAAAGATACTTTCAAATTTATTTTCGGTAGGGAACATTGAACGGTTTGGGCATCCTTCCTAGGAAAAGAATGTCAGTAAGATGGGATCCATTCTGGTTTTGGTGTATTTTACCCTGGGCCCAGTTGTTGCAGAGCTGGAGGTGACCCTGCCTTCTCATTCCTAACATTTTTCTCTACTACCACCCGGATTTTGAGGCAGAACCCCAACTTGTCATGGCTCCAGCTGAAGTTTGAAATATAGGGTCCCGGGCTTCTAGCCTGTAGGAGCTGCAGATGTAGTGGGGCAGACGTGGGGGGGGGTCGGTGGTGAGCCTATAGAAACATCTCTTTCCACAGGGAAAGATAAAGGATGTGATGTGTGTAGCTCAGCTCCAGGCTGAAATGCAGACTTTTCTCATCTTCCAGAATAAGCAGGATTCCCTTCTGATAACCTTGTCAGAAATGTTTTTTTTCAAAGGACATGTATGGTATCTGTCACTTTCAGTGATGATTGTGTCCTCAGGTGATGTCTCTTGACCTGAACTGAGTATGCCTGTGGAAGGTCCTCTTAGCCCCCTCACAGAAATAGGAGGGGGGGTGTCCTCGGGCTGTAGCTGTGCTTCCTCTGAAGGTCACTGGGGAAAAGGGATACCCAGGGCCGTTGTCCAGCTTATTATCCCAGCTGCTGCACGAAGTGTCCAGAAACTGGTCCTTAGAGCTTTTGAGTTTATCAGATCAGTTTGTTCTTGGGTTGCCATCAAGATGGGTCTCACTATAAATGAAGGAATCTGAGAAGAGTCCAGTTTTATGTGTTTCTAGAGAAAATGCTCAAGTGTTCTTATGCAAGTCATGTTAGATTTATATGATGTGTGAAATCTGCTTACAAGGAAATTTTCATGATTTGTGTTAGATTAGCATTTAATTGTCTGCTTTAAAGGATACTTAATTTATTTCAAAAATAAGGAAAAATAGAGGAATCGGTGTGAATTTTTTAAGACTGAGAGATGATGTTCCTTTACTTTTCCTGTAAAGAAGATAATTTTTAAATCTTTCATATCCTATAGAGAAAACCAACTTTTCCTCTGTGATACAGTACATTATGTTTGCACTACTATAATGTCAAGACTGAAAGTATAAAAAATGTACATATAAGATTAATTTTTATATCTTTTTTTTTAAAGGGGTTTGAGGTGCCTGCCTGGCTCATTCAGTAAAACATACGACTCTTGATCTTGGGATCATGAGTTCAAGCCCCACGTTAGGGGTAGAGTTTACTTTAAAAATAAATAAAAGGGGCGCCTGGGTGGCTCAGTGGGTTAAGCCGCTGCCTTCGGCTCAGGTCATGATCTCAGGGTCCTGGGATCGAGTCCCGCGTCGGGCTCTCTGCTCAGCAGGGACCCTGCTTCCCTCTCTCTCTCTCTCTCTGCCTGCCTCTCCGTCTACTTGTGATCTCTCTCTGTCAAATAAATAAATAAAATCTTTAAAAAAAAAAATAAAAAAAAATAAAAATAAATAAAAGGGGTTGAGTCTATTGCACTAAGCTATACATGACTAATTTAAAGTGGAGAGATGTTGTGCTAGATTTAAAAAAATAACTAGTTTTCTTAATGTGTCTTTGTATGATCAATAGCATGCCATAAGCAATACAAAACACCAAGCCTTATACTTACAAGAAAAAAGGTTAACATACTGGTAAAGTTCTAAACATATGAAATGTACATAAGTGACAAAGGTAGGATTTTAAGGAAATGTCAGTATATAGAGAAGCTCTGTACTGCATTAAGGAACTTCTTTAGAACTAGGAAAGCATTCCTGTGAGGAGAAAATTTAGGGGTTTGAAAAGTTATATTTTTCTATTTAAAAGTGTTAAATTATTGCATAATTTGGAAAAGGTTGCTTTGTAGGACAAAACTGTTTCAAAGATTTTTGTTTGAAAAGTTTATGTATTTTTGTGCCTTAATATTTGTTCTGACTTTTAATAAAATGCTTTCTGAAATTCTGGGTGATTGATTCTAGGATTCTGTTAGTGCTAGATTATGTGAAGCTGCAGGAAATGTAGGCCCAAATAGATGGTTATGGCAGGCTTTAAACAAAAGTCCTAAGACAGGAGACGCACTAATTAACAAATACAGAAAAGCGTTCAACCTCAGTAGTGAGCAAAGAAATGCAAAATATGGGGCGCCTGGGTAGCCTCAGTGGGTTAAATATCCAGCTCTTAGTTTCGGCTCAGGTCATGAACTCAGGTCCTGAGATTGAGCCCCTGTTGGGCTTTGCACTCAGCAGGGAGTCTGCTTGAGAGTCCCTCTCCCTCTCCTTCTGCACACTCTCTCTCTGCCCCGCCACCCAATAAATAAATAGGGGCGCCTGGGTGACTCAGTTGCTTATTATGCATTTGTTTTCAGCTCAGGTCATGATCCCAGGGTCCTGGGGTTGAGTCCTGCTTCAGGTTCCATGCTGAGCAGGGAACCTGCTTTTCCCTCTCCCTGCACATACCTCTCTCTCTTGAATAAATAAATTAAATCTTTGATAAATAAATATTTTTTAATGCAAAATAGATGGAGAATTTTAAAAATTAACAGGTTTATACTAACATTTGTAAAATCTGCTTGCAAAGTCTGATGAACACACTCAATTATAGTAATATACTTGATTCAGTCTTTGAGAAAAGAAGTTCAACAACGTGTTTATAACCTTTGGTACCTGCCAGTTCTGATGATGTTTTTATTTTTTTATTTTATTTTATTTTTTTTTCTGATGATGTTTTTAAAAATGATTCAAACTATAGAATAAGGCTTCTGCATAAAAATGTTTATTAGATGATTCTTTAAATGGAGACAGAATTAGAAACAAACTAAATAATAACAATAGAATATTAAGTGAATTAAGGTCTAGCCAGCTACTTTATGGGATACTGCAACCATTAAATTATGAAGAATTCATTATAATAACAAAATTATTTGTAAAAATAAGATACAAAGTCACTGTTGTGGACTGTCCACGAAAACACAAAGTAGAGAAAGGATTGAGTGGAAATGGACCACGGTGGCATTCATGGTTAATGTTTAGATTTAGCTAAGCTGTGGTCACAACGTGATCCAACATTTCAGAAGGTTAAGACAAAAAGAAGTTTATTTCCTGGTCATACAACAGTTCTGGGGTGGGTATAGAGGTGGGCAAGACAAGCTTCCCCCACACATGGCTCAGGGACCCAAAGTTTCTCTCTGGTGGGCCCTCCAGCTCCTAGGGCCGGTCATCTGCATGTAGCCGACAGAAGGAGAAAGGACAGCCTGGGAAGTTTTGTGGGGTGAAACCGCAAGTGCTGCTCATCACTTCCGAGCACATTCCATGGGCTCTCACATGGCCACACAAACTGCCAGGCATCCGGGAAATAAGAGCCATGCGCCTGCCTGCTATTCTACTCTGTGAAGGAGAGCATGGATTTGGGGGGGACAGCTAGTTGCACCTGCTACAGATTCTTTGGGAGCAGTGGACAAGGAAGACAAAAACTTCTGCCTTTCTATTTTCTAAGGTAAACATATGGAGAAATATCTAAAAAGTGAAAGTCCATAGTAGGCTATATAATTATCAGAAAATCTAGAAACGCGCATGGTCTCAGAACACAGCTTAATCCATTAAAAAATAAAAATCCAGGGGCACCTGGGTGGCTCAGTGGGTTAAAGCCTCTGCCTTCGGCTCAGGTCATGATCCCAGGGTCCTGGGATCGAGCACCGCATCCGGCTCTCTGCTTGGCGGGGAGCCTGCTTCCTCCCTTCTCTCTCTCTGCCTGCTGCTCTGCCTACTTGTGATCTGTCAAATAAATAAATAAAATCTTAAAAAAAAAAAAAAAATCCATCCTGCCCCAAGTAAGTAGATGGAACATGGAGAACATTCTTGGACATTCTCCCAGCCTTGGGAGCGACCAAGATGGGTATTCCCTGGAGGAAAAGGAGGTCTGTTGTTGTAATAGTGCTGATAGTTTAGGGAGGGTTGGGAGTGCTCACAGAGTGGCAGGCTCTGTTAACCATCACAGTGTCTGTAGTCAGTAAGGTGGGTGTAGCCTGTGAGTTTATAGATGAGAAAACAGACTGAGCATGGCTAAACGACTTGTCCAAAGTCACCCTCCTGGTGAATGGAAAGCTGGTATAATATTGGTGTTAAGTACCCTCAAAGGGTTTCTATGAAGTCCTGGCAGGGAGGAGGTACGTGGTTGCTTGTTAGAGGATTAAGGTCATGTATCTAAAGTGCTTGGTGCTCAGGCCTTCACAACACAGCGAAGTTACCAAAAAACGCATTGGTGATTGTCATGGAGGCTGCTGAGACCCAGCTGGCTTAAAGTCCTCCATATGAAACTCACATTCCAAGACTTATTTACATGTGTTGCAATGGCAGCTTCCCAGGGCAAGCTATTGCCTCTTAAGTGGTAATGGATTTACTACTTACTACTTTTTTTTAAAAAGGATTTTATTTATTTGACAGAGATCACAAGTAGGCAGAGAGGCAGGCAGAGAGAGAGGGGGAAGAAGCAAGCTCCCTGCCTAGCAGAGAGCCAGATGTGAAGTTCGATCCCAGCATGCTGGGATCATGACCTGAGCCAAAGGCAGAGGCTTTAACCCATGGAGCCACCCAGGCACCCCCACTTACTACTTTTTACTATTTACTACCATTGCTAAATTCCTATTAATATAAGCTGGTATGATACTGAATTCAGATGTAAATAATTTGGGCAGTATTTCCTTTAAATCCCTGAAAAAGTAGTAAGAAACTGTGTGGAAGTTTATGTACTGGAAAACTTTTAAAAGGTCTCCAGCAGATGGTGCCAAAGTAATACCTAAGAAGACGTCTGGTCTGTAATTCTTGCCTTTAAAATTTTCTTTAATTTACTTTCCAAATGCCATTAAGCAAATTTAGAGATGAAATTAAAAACAAAAACCAACAAACAAAAGAAAACTTTGTGAAAGTGGACACAAAGAGCACTGCCATTCCCAGAAAAAAATAATCAATGA